CGTTCCTAGGGAATTCACACTTCGTCCTTATCTGCGATGATTTCAGAGGCCGTCGTTTCTTTTATTTGATTTAGCTACTTGCTGCCTTTCGTCGTTTGAACAAGACAAGACAACTATAAAAGCGCAAGACGCTGAAAGGACGAAAAGGACGAGGAGCACGATGAGGCCGATGGGGAGGAGGCAGAGGCTTATGGATGGATGGATGGCCACATGGGGCAGGGATTTCCAAGGGGGAAGAGGCAGGGGGAGAGGGGGTGGTGGCAATGGGGGTCCTGGTTTGGGCGCTGCGGGTTGGAAGAAATTGACAAGTTTCTACTTGAGTGTGCAGTCAAAGAGCATTGGCTGAGTTCCTAGCCAGAGTTTTATACTCTCTCTCTATGTGTTAGTGTGTGTGTGTGTATGCTTGTGTTTTTATTACTGTTCTCTGTGTATGTGTGTGTAGACGCCCACTGCCACGCCCCCCTTGGGGCTGCAGTCGCCCTCGGTCATTGACTTTGCCTCACTGCTGCAATTTGCAGCGCTGCCCCGCCTTCTTTTCGCCTTCAGAAGCCACCGGCAATTGTCAATAGCAACAAAATTTCAAAGCAACTTGAACATTTCGAGAACAGAAATGTTCCTGGAAAAACAGACAGGAATGGAAGGAGAAAGGGGATTCCCCCCTTTTCCCGGGGGAGACCATCGAGTGGGGCGCATTGATTTTGGTCAATGGCCTATGGCGGCCTGGCCTAAACAATTATGTAGAGCCGCACAGTTGGGGCCAAAATAGTAGAGCACAAAAGCCCGCTAACCAAACTAGATTCTTAATTATTCACAAGCCGCTCTACTTCCCCGAATGCCACTGTATATATCCTTTATAGATATATATACATATATATATATATATATTCTTGCACTCGAACCGTAATCAAATCGAGGCGGCCCGCCTTTCGCAACTTGCGACTTTTGTTGTCTGTCAAAATGTTTAACGGTGCGTATGATTAATCTTGATGGGACTCGGGGCAACGTTTTTGTTCATATATATACATTTGGCTCGTTTTTTTTTCTTTCTGTGTCCGCTTTTTGGACTGGTTCTGGTTTTGTCCTGCCATGAAATTCAATAAGGCGGCCAACCGAAGGAGGCGCACAAAGTGGGACACTGAAAAGTTTACTAATTGCAAATTAGTGCAAACATTTTAAATTGAAATTGCGGCAGTTGAGAGCTCCCGAGCCGAGCTCCCCAAAGGCGGCCTTTCAAACTCCTGCTGATTACTAATTGACCCCCGAATATATTGATTTTTGCGGTCCGTTTCGATGAGGTTAACATAATCGCTGCAGGGAAAACGAGAAATGGGATCCCCACAGAGCCAAATAGCCCAAGAGCCAAAGAGAAGTTGCAGTTGAGGCTTTGGGGGTTTAAGGCGCTTTGTGGTCATGCGAACTTTGGAGGCGCCACCAGGTTACCATTCCAAAAATAATATATATATATATATAAAAGAAATTAAAAAATAAAAGGGATCTGGATGTGGAACTGCCAGTGACTCTTGACCTCGCCTTGACTCGTTTTCTCCAGTTCTCAATCCTTGAACCTCCTCACAAAGAAATGCAACAAAGAAAACAAAAACAAAATGGGAAAAAAATGGGAGCACAGTCAGACATTGTTTACGCGACGAGGCAAATACTTTTTTTTTTGCTTTTTTTCCCATAGGCGGCTCACACAGTGGTGCACAAAAGATTTCGTCGAGAGCATTTCGCATTTGCATTTGCATTTCGGGGTGAGAAAAACCCAAGCGGAGGGGAACGGTGGGTAGGAAAAGCCAGCGGGAAGGTGTTTTTCCGCAAGGTAAACGGAAAGCGCATTGTGGCTGCCGCAGAATTTCATTCCGATGCGATGTCCTTTGTGCGGACAATTTTCGAGATTAAAACGCGGCGAATCTGTATTAAATTCTTTGTCGACAAAATTAATTGTTTTTTTCGCCAGGCGGCAAACCGTTTGCGTTTTGTTTGTAGCTAGTTGTTATTCCAGTGGATAAAAGGGGGAGTGCAGATGGAGAGAAGATGGAGGTGTTGGAACACTTTGGAAATAGCTGACGGCAACTCTGCATAATTGGGCAACCCTTTTGGGTGGCTCGCCCTTAACCTACGCCATGCGTGCCCCGACTATTGATGAAGTTCGGGTGGCAGCGCAGTTGAAGGCAGACGGCGCGTGCGGTGAACTTTTCCGGCTTCCTCGACCTCCAAAGAGCGCCATCCATTCCCCCCCAAAGCGAATTTTCCAACTTGTGGTCCAATCTTACACCTGCTCAACCATTTGGGGGTTAAAGGATGGGTGGCAATGGGGGGTTGGGGGGTCGGCGGTCACGGCGGGAAGCTCTAAACGGTTGGCAAAAGGCTTCGCTCGGGTTCCGCAAAAGGCCGAAGTTACAGTAACAGATGGCCGATACACGGGAAAGAGTTTTTGAATATCAAGCATACGCCCTGTTAATCAAACAAAATTTTGATTGGGGAAATTGGTTTTTTAATTTTGTTTTAGTATTTACATAAATAAGGAGAAAGTCTAATAAATAAATAAAACAAAGTACAACAAAGATATCTGATACACGGAAAAGTGTTTTTCAAGATTAAGTATACGCCCCGTTACTAAATGAAGTTAAGGTTAAGAAAATTGGTTTTTTAATTTTGTTTTAATATTTACATAAATAAGCAGAAAGTCTAATAAATAAATAAAAAAACAAAATACAAAAAAGATATCTGATACACGGAAAAGTGATTTCCAACATTAAGTATACGCCACGTTACTCAATGAAATTCAAGTTAAAGAATTTAGTAGTCTATTAATTATAGTATTTTAAAAAGAACGAAAAAATAAAATAATTATAATGAATAATCGTTTTTATTTAAATTTTTTTATAAAGATGGTCAATACACTAAAAATACCTTTTAAAAATCAAGTATACGCCACGTTGCCTATACAAAACACAAATAAAGGTAAAAATTTAAACTTGTAATAGCCGAGTATTTATGTTAACGGTCAGCTAATCAGCTCTCCAAGCAAATTCCTGAACATATTTTAATGAACAGTGATTAATGTAAAAATAAACAGGCTATGAAAGTCATTTCGTAGGAGTCAATTAATCAGTTTTCCAAGGCAAATGCCTAGAACATATTTTCGGGCCCTCAGTACATGTCTCAATTATAACTTAATAAGCCTAATTTGCGTTGACCAGACCGTTTCTCGCAGTGCAGGGAAGAGGGGGGGAAGGCGGGTTGATTAGATTTGAGCCGGGACGAGTCAAGCCACGTCGCGTTTAAGCCCATCAAATGCCGCTGGGCCTGCTACTCATTTTTTTCTCGTTTTTTTTTTATGTTATGCCGCCAATGCCGCCGCCGCCCGTCTCTCGTTATTCATTAAGTTTAATGAGTTCATTTGACTTGGCCCGGCTGAAAATACTGGCATACTGGCGCACTGTCGATTTGCGGGCGGGCAATTTTAAAAGGCTTGAAGCCGCCGCAAGGTTGCCAGCCTAATTGACAGCCAGTCGTCGCAGTTTTGGGACCCAGATGAAAGGCATCTGTGTCACTGCCAAAACGCGCAGCAATGTGCTTGGAGATGGGGAAAAGTGAAGATGGGGGCGATGGGGCTTTTAAAGCCCCCCAAGCGACGACACACTCCGCTGGCAGCTAATTGAATTGCATCGCTAATTTCGGGCCTATTAGCTGACGTTTTAGCTCGAAGATGGCCAGCACTCAGCACGTTAAAAGAGTGGAGAGTTGCAGGAGTGGAGCATTTGAATAAAATAGCAAAGTTATGATTTCACGCTGAGATATTGAGCAAACGAAAGCCCCAAGGGAAAACACTCGAGGTTAAATAATTACTTTAGAACAAAGAAATGAAAATAAGATATACTTCCTCTACTAAAAATGTTTTTTTGTCGAGATATGGAGAAAAGGAACCCTTAAAGAAAATACTCAAATTTAATTAGAACAAAGAATGTTCAATTCACAAAAGAAGATATGATTCTTTTACCCCAAACATATAACTTTATATATCAAGATATATCTTGATGTGGATCAAAAGAAAACCATGCAAACCCTTTTTAAATTAAAACATTTTAAACAAAGACAATTCAGTTACCAAAAGAGCATTAGCTTTTTCTCCTTAAAAGATATAATTTTCTGTCGAAATATAGATGCAAACGAAAACCCTAAAAGTAGTAACTCAAGTTCAAAATAATAAATTTAAAACAAAGACAACTCAATCCCTTAAAAGAAGATAAATTTCTTCTACTCTAATAAAGCCCCACGCATTCTTTTAAACTTCTATGCAAATGCCGCAATTTTTGGCCCGGCTAAAAATTAACAAAGTCAGCATCCTAATAAGGGGATTATGGGCCATGTTATGGCCATTAGCTGCAATTCCACGCTCTTTTTTTTTTTTGGGCAGATCCCATCCTTTTTTATGGCGAATTTTGTAATTTGCTGACGGAATGCCGAGCGTAAAGTAAAGCATTTAAAGTCTTCCACGTAATTGACAAGGGTGCCAGGATTTATAGCATATCCCAACCGGATGTTGTTTGTTTTAAAAGTACAGGAGTTGGGCATTTGAAAAAATTCATGACATTGCTTTAGGAGCTGAAGTTTAAAAAACATTGGTTTGCCAAACATAAAAAACATTCTACAGTTTTTGGATTTGAATGGGATATTATGCTAAAATGTAATAAATCGTTTTTAGTTTATATGCAACACAGTCTATATGTTTTCTGATCATTGAAATTTTTTCAAACCTTTGGAAATTTAAGAAAATAATTTTCTTATTTATATTTATAAATCAGTTATTATTTTCTTTATTTTTTGTATACACAATATACCTTTTTTACTACTGTCTAAAACTTATTTGGATACTAATTTTTCCCCCAGTTTAAATTTTTAGCATCTCGTCATCCCTTTTTTTTCGTGGGAACATAGGAGCAGTTAGATTTTTCTGTCAGTTAAGAGTTTTCCTGTAAACTTATAACATTCTCATTTCGGCAGTCTATTTGTATAGATTTTCGAGAGCAATTCTAGCCAAATCTTTTTAGCATATATTCGTTGATGTGATGGCGTTTCCGGCTTCTGCCGTCAAGCCGGTGGTGATCATCGATTTGACCGGACCGGAAGAGAGTGAGGATGAGAAAGAGAAGGACGAGTCCCAGGACGAGCCATACTTGTGCCCCATCTGCGTGGACAGACCCGAAGACCCAGTGAGCACCCACTGTGGCCATGTCTTCTGCAACGAATGCATGAAGAGCGCTCTGCGCCACTCTGCCAGCTGCCCACTTTGCAAGGCTCAAGTGCTGAGCACTATCCGCCTATACGTTTAATTTGAAGCATTTCCATCGATCTTTACTTTGCTTCTTGGCACTAGCAGTTTACTTTGTACAACAGCCTTCTCTTCAATAAACCATTTCTGCAGCTTGATGCTGTATGGCGATTAAACAAGGTTTTCAAATGTTATATTCAAGCGGATAAGAATTAACCCCGAATTAAATTGTATTTTTTGTAGCTCTGTTTTTGAATTTTGACATTTGCAGCGCAGGGATTTTTCGTGGAACGGTTAAATTGGGGCATGCCATCATTATCTTGCCACATACTTTCGGGCGAATCACTCGAGCGAATTCCACCGCTAAACTTTGCAACGTTAAGTGCCGTCGCTGCCAGAGTGGCCACAGTTGCCAAAGGCTCCCATAACCACCCCCCCCAAAAAACCCCACACATTACCAACCACCCCCCAGCCACCCACACTCTTGTCAAGTTGTTAAGGGCAGAGCGTGACAACATTTTTAATTACATGCCACACAGGCAACCGAAAACAGAAACCAGAAAACAGAAAACAGCAACAGGCATTCAAATATCAAGTACGACAACAAAGCTGGAAAATAATTTACGCATTTTACACGCACCCCCGAGAAAAACTTTTGGGGCAGTTCACTGTGTGCAGTACTCCACTGTTTTCCTTTTGGGGGGCTTTCATTAAGGAAATCCATACGGCAGTCGCAACGCAGAGCGGGCATGGGCGTCGGGTTTTTACGATTCGCGGGGGGTTTAAATAGGAGCAGGGGGGGCTGGGGGGCGTGGCAGTTGTACCGAATGCAGCCCAAAGCACGCGCCGCTGTTTGCCCAAAAACCAAATGGGGAATGGTATCAGAATCATGCGACACCGCGGAAAATACAACAATAGTTTTTCACACTTGAGATTTGTGTAGATAAAAAAATAATTAAAATTTGCTCATGGATTTTGTTACAAAGTACGTTTGCATAGAATGCAATCAGGCTTTTATAAGTATTTCAAATAGTTAATAAGGGTTAAACTTTTTAGACTTTGTTATTTTTTTAATTTGGTTAATCAAAATTATTTATTAGAATTTATTTTGTTTTTATTTTTTTCAATGTATGTTGTAGTTATCATTTCCAGCAAAAATGTTTTTCGCACATCTGACTACAGCAATATTGCAGCCTTGGGAATTTATAAAATAAATTATATATACAAGATAAATCAGTGCTTAATTTGTGTCTGGAGAATTTTTTTTAAAATTGGAATACACATTAATTAAGCACTTTTAACTTTAACACAAATTCACAGCGCAATCTAGAAATCACAATAAATAGATTAAAATATGTAGACATAAAAGTAAGAACTAGAAAAACCTTACCAAAAAGTATTATCCTTATAAATTGGGCTCATCTTCACGATCTCTTGAAATACTTATCAACATTTTCTCACTGTGCACCTGGAGAGACAGGAGGCATATGGAAATTGGGTGAACGCGAACGTAACGGGAAACGGAAAGCGGGAAAGCGGGAAATGGGAAATGGGAAATGGCAGCACACACGTGCTAAGCCCGAGTCAAGGGGAATCGATTAAATTTTCTTTTAATGCCCAACCATAAATTTCCCTTTCGAGTTGCCTTTTCCCATTGTTAACGACCTTTCAGCCAAAGGATGAGCAGCCAAGAACGGAAAGAGCAACACAAACTGGAACTCAAACAGAAACAGGAGCAGAAAACTGAAACAGAAACAGAAACGGAGCCAAGAACAAAAAAAAAACGACATAAAGTGAAATAAAAATAAAGCAAAAATTATGTCTAACGTCACATTGCCGAGTTCAGCTGATTCTTTATCAGCGCTAAGTGCCCGGAATCCATCTTCCCCCCTTTTCCCCTTACCCCTTGCCCCTCCCCCTCCCCCCGCTAATCCTCCGCTGATTATGTATGCCGTTTGTTCCGTGTGAGCAAAATGTGAGCCAAAACGGGCAGGACTAAAAGTTACTCCTTGGGAATCCTTTCGCATATGCAACCCCTGTCAGTCGATCGACAGATAGTCTATCAACTTTTACCGGCGAGTCGATTAAACTTTTATGATGCCCCAATAACCGAAATTATTACACTTTGTTTCCATTTAGATATTAGGTATATTATTATAAATATCAGTATATCACATAATATAAGTTCAGACAGCCAATGGCCTCAGCAGCCAGTACTGCAACTTTCTTTAGTTAGTCTTAGTTTTATAACTACAATATAAATTAATTTAAAATAATATTGTATTTTATATATTTTATTATATATATTTATATTTTATTATATAAAAACGAAACATAAGGTGTTCTGTAAAAAAAACCTAGGAGCAGGTTGATTTTTTTGTTATTTCCGAGTTTTCCTTTTAACTGACTTGAGCTTCAGTTCGGCAGTCTATCCCTGTATATTTAAGTAAGCCGTTCAAGTAGAGAGCATTCGGTCAGTGTAGAATAATTTTTATTTTTGTAAAATTAATTCGATTCCCCATTAGGATTTCTAATTGTTTTTCCTCTCGCATTTATTCGTTGATGAGATGGCGTTCCTTCGAAGCCTTTTTGGCTGGGAGATAATTCCGCGTCGGCGATTGGCTTCTGCCGTCAAACCGGAGGAGATCATCGACTTGACCGGATCGGATGAGGAAGAGAATGAGGGACCAAGCCCGGTCGAATTCCGGGACGATGGTTACTTATGCCCGATCTGCAAGGACAAGCCCGAGGATACGGTGACCACCCATTGTGGGCATGTTTTCTGCAATGAATGTTTAATGGCGGCTTTGCGCATATCCTACCTTTGCCCACTTTGCAAGAGTGAAGTGCAGGACATTATCCGCATATTCCTTTAATTTCAATCTTTCCAATCGAGAGAAACGCAACAGGAAGACACTTTTCTACTATCTGAAATACTCTTTTTTCAAGCAGTTATATTGCCATTGAATTGCTTTCACTTAAAGCTACTATTCTCTACTCTTAACAGTAAACCTTTTTAAGCGTTTGGTTCCATTTAATTGCCGTCTTAAAAAAGACTTTCAAATAATCCTGATATCAACTGTACTTTGTTAGAATAAGCAGCAGAAAAACCTCACAAAAAGACACCTTGACTCAATGAACTATTGTATATTTTGAATAAAGGTTGTAGCTTTCCCTTTAAGCCGGTTCTGCTTTCTCCCTCTTAAGTTAATCTCCTGGCTAACAGAAGTGCTATGTATTTTCCAGGGTATCAGCCACTTCGACCCAAAACTGCCACCTTTAACGCTTCGCTGGCGAAATGAGAGATTTGCGAAGAGATTTACGCGCAACACCAAAATGAACTTTTGTGTGTAAATTTATGTGCAGTTTCCCAGCTTTGCGAAGCTTGTGGAATGGGGGAAAATGGGGATGAAGATGGAGATGGAGATGGAACTGGAGGCCGAGTCGCAGCTAAGTAACTAACGCCATTAGCTGCTTAGTTTTGGGCCCTCCCCCAGCTTTTGGTAGCTATCTAGGCATTTTTATTGCTGCATTCCAGGGAACAACATCAAAACATCGCAGAAATCATCGCTTTAGTCGGCTTTTTCTCGCCTTCGAGGGACGGGATGTCGCTGCCTTTGGGGCTGAGCATTGATTTTTGCGCCGAAAGGAAATCAGGAAGTCAGGTGAAATCGGGGACAAAGAGATTGGATGAAAGATTTGAAGATTCGAGGAGAGAGATTAAGTTTGGAATGTGTCCGTAAATAGAAATAAAACGCTGCACTTTAATCTGCGCGGGAATGCTGAAAGCTATCCGAAAATCTACTTTTACCTCCGAGAATTTCAACCCAAAACGTAACTGCGAAATTGTGATTACACTTGGCACATGAATATTCAATGGAATCGTGCAGCATTATGCCCAAGAAATAAAAGTTTAAATCGCTGTTGTGGCCCGAAGGCAAGTGGCGAAAGTCAATGGGCCTTAAAATAGCTTTTATGGCTACCCATCATAAAATTTATGCAGCACCTGATGAGTAAGAAATTGGATGGAGATATTAGATCTATATGATGTCTCTGCTCCACCTTCCCCTTCCCCCCTCCCCTTTCCATCCCCCTTCCCCTTCCCCTCCTTGTATTTATTAATTAAAGACGGCCTAAACATCATTTGGCGGTGGGCGGGGATGTTTGTTTGGCTGGTCAGTGAATAAATACGCCTTGGCCAGGTCAAGTTGCGAATGTATTCGGCCACTGCAGACACACACACACACCCCCCGCGCATACCCACACACATACTGTGGTCGAAAAGGCAAATAAGCGGCCAATAAAAATATTATTAATACGCCAACGAGAACACACACAAGCCACTTGGCTTTCCACAGCGAAAAAACGTCATTGGGCTCTTGCTAACCAGCTTATTATTATTATTTTTTATTCCGATGCCACTTATCGAAATTGAGCCCTAATGATGCTACCCATTCCCGCTCTTTTTTCGCCACTACACCAATGGGCTATCATTTATTTTTCTCCATGTGTACTTATCGCTGTTGTAGCACCATCATTCAGGCTGATGGAAATGGAAATGGCCTGGGAAATGTGGAAATGGGAAGGTGGGCGGTGGGTGGTGGCAAGGGGGCGAAGGGAAATTAGCAGCAGCGCACATCAGCCATCAAGAGCAGTTGGGTGTGTTTTAGCCATAAATTTATTAACTTAGTGTCACATTTATAGCCACTCTGCCAACCGACGACACCACCACTGAGAAAACAAGGACAACAAGAACAACAACAGAACAGGACACTCTAAACAGGACACAAGGACACAAGCAGTCTATTCAAATCAACTTGAAAATTCGCTAACCGATTTTTAATTGATTGTCCACCGAGTAATGGAGCAATTACACTGGATAGTGGGTCAAGCTGGGGATTCCCATGGCCAATTCGAAAACTTAAAGCCAGTTCTTAACTAACAATTAAAGAGTCATTTAATAAAGATTAAATATAAATCGAATATCAAGGGTGGGGGAGCAAATTATGCTGCGTTGGTTCATAACATTTTCTAAACGTAATTCAGGAGGTTTTCCAAAACTTAAAACCAGTTCCTAACCAACAGTTAAAGAGTTATTCAATTTTGCTAAACATAAATCGAATATTGAGTGTGGCTCCTAAAATTTAATATACGTAATTGATAATTTGGACTGACGGCGTATGCCACTCGTGTAAACTAAATTGATGCTTTTCAATTATAATTGCATTAACACGTAATATAATTAAAAGATAATCACTTGTAACGAAGTCACTAATAATAGTTTAAGCTTTAAAAAATGCAGTGCGTACCATCAAAAACTTATCTATAAAAAATATACTTTCATCAGTTTTAGTATCCAATATCCGATTCTAAAGGAATGGCAGACTTTTATAAATATTAATTTGCTATAAGCTACAAAAAGTTTTTAAAGTACATTTGCTTAAATTTTTTATATTTATTTTTATACAAGCTTCAAGTTTTGATTTGTTCTGACAAACACATAAAAATGTTTGTAAAAGGAAAATAAATGCCTTTTGGCTTGAAAAATTGTACTAAATCGAAAAAATCTTAAACAAAATGAGCCTTTTTTTAATTTCATTAAATTTTTTTTGGCATAGCACATAGTAAAAAAAACTTATTCGTATATTGACTTTAAAATAAAATTCTATGTTTTAGGTTTTCTTTTATTTTTTGGTATCGATCGGTAAGGAATTTTTGTAAAACGAAATTCATAAATTAAAAAAAAAAATTTCCTTTTACAAATTTAATAAAATGAACTCAAATATTTATTATCCCAGGACAACAAGCTTACACTTGCATTATTCGGAAACCAACGTGTGGAAAAATGCTATATTTCACAGTTTGAAAAGTTTTTCGATCCCTTCCGGCAATTATTCCCGTATAAGCCAACCGATTTGCCCTGCAAGTCCGAAGCTACTTAAAGTATGTAATTCGAAAATCCAGGGGCGAATATGCGGACTTGGCTCATTTGTCAAGTTGGCTCTGTCGGACTTAGTTGTGCCACCCACTCTTTGGGGAGCTGAGGAGTGGGGGGAACCCAGGAAACCGGGAATCATTTGTCCCGGAGCCGTGCACCTGTTGTTTGGTCCGCGGGCGCTTAATTTGGCTCAGTTCGATCGGATCAGGAGTCGGCGGGAGTTATCGCGCCGCCCAACAGATGTGCCGCCGGAATCCATTTCCCACCAGCGAACAATCAACTCCACAGTCCACTCCACACCAAAAAAAAAAACCGAGTGGTTGTGATAAGCACACAGTCGCCGACGAACAGATAAGCACACACAGGGATCGACTTACATTCACGGTTGCAACTGTCGGTGGATGTGGGCCTTGTGGGTCAGGCCGCCGAAAACATTGGGGGCACGTACACTCGAAAAAAATACCAAAATAAAAGTAAGCAAATAAATAGACGCGACGCGAGACTCGAGGAATTCGAAATCCTCGTTCGATATTATTCAAAATCCAACTGTTTCGGCGGATAACTGTAACTGTCTGTTTTATTTCGGATTCGAAACCGCTCCACAATTTTTGGGGAAGGCTAACCGACAGCTTCGCAGTCTCGCGACCAACTGAAGCCCGAGGAGTCCTTGCAGCGGCATTTAAGCAGGTTCCGTTTCGCTGCCCGCAGGACTTGGGCCTTGCGGGGGAGGCGGGGATTGGAAAGGCGAGTGGAAGGGGAATGGGTTCCCCAGTAAGCCGGCAGCACTTTGTAACGGATGGGGAACAGCTGACTGGAAAAGCTCAGTAAACAGCTTTCGAGCAGCTTTTCGAGTATGACAGCTGGCAATGCCCAGCGAGAAGAGCTTACGCACTCTCCCCAATGTTTACGTACGAGCGTGTGAAGGGTAGACAGCGACAGTCTGACAGTTGCCCCAAAACCAGGGATGCCAAGAAACAGCTGGCGGGAGAGGCTAGCTTCAAAATACCCTTCAATAGCAGATTTGATCATATTTTCCAATAGGCGTGAAAAAAAGTTATGGGTTTATAGGTCCATTTATAAAGGTCAAAAATCATTTTTCAATCTTTCCAAATTTTCAAAATTCAGTTTTATTTTTAAACCAGAAAACTGTAGTATTTTTCTAATTATTTAATTCTTTTGTTTAAATATTAATAAAATAAGACAGCAAAAATACTACTAAAATGTATTTTTTGAATTCGATAACTAACTAAAACTAATATCGCCCTTTATCCAACCCTTTTCCCTTTTCCTAATAACGTAAAAAAAAATAAATAAAAAAGTAAAAAAAAAAACAGTGAACAAATTTCTGTGGTGCCCAAAATACTTAAAAATCAAAATCACCAAATAATTGAAAGGAAATAGAAAAACACTGGGAATTCACCATCAGTTCGAACTAAGTTTATTGCAGATCAAATGAATCCTCAGACGCGGTTGGCCGGCCACACGATGCCCTCGATGAAGTCCAGGAAGGAGGAGACTCGCGTGTAGAGACCCGGCGTATTGGTGGCACATCCGAAGCCGGAGTTGATGACGCCCAGGATCGAGAAGAAGCCGTCCACCTCGTTCTCCTCCAGGATGAGCGGACCCCCCGAGTCGCCCTGGCAGGCGTCCTTCACCAGCTTCTTGTCCGTCGCACACAGCAGCGACTCGATCACGCCCATCTTCAGCTGCCGCTTGGCGGTCGGCTGCTCCGCGAAGGCGGCGCTGCACTTGTCCGACGGCACCAGATCCAGCTCCGCCCGCAGCAGGATGTTCGATCTGGCGCGAGCTGGAGAGGAGAGCAGAAACCAGGGGATAAATATCTAAATGCAGCTTATCAAATTTAACATTAACATGTATGCTACTATTAAACTGTGTATTATCTTTCTGTTTCGTAAACTCAAATAAAAATAAATAAAAACTCAAAAGCCAACATGAAAACTAATCATAAAGATCATAAAAATAGGCATTTATAAGCTGAATTAAAAACAAGTCGATCTATGGTTTTTATCATGCCTGCAAACTACTAAGAATATATTACTTAAATATAAGAATAATACTTTGATTACATTTAAATATATTTATACTTGCAACATGAACTACCTTCTATCTAAATAAAAAATATATTTATTTGCTAATTTATTTTGAAAATAATATTAGTATTAGTATTAGTAGTATTATTAGTATTAGCTTGTCTCAAGAAATAAAAAATGAATTCTTTTTGGAGCTAGTGTTAGTTTTTCAATGGATGTTCTATCCACAACTTACTGGTCCTGTTCATGGTGCCCCAGCCGGCGACGAAGAGTTTGCGGCCCGCTGGAGAAAATGTGGGCTCCGTGTAGAGGCAGGCAGGAGCGATGGTGTCCGACACAATGGCATCCTGGGCCAACTCGAGGACGGCGATGTCGTTGTACTTGCTGGCAGGCACATAGTTCGGATGTATCTTCACATGCGTCTGCGGTTGGAATATCGTTTAGGGAATCGAAGGGAAAGGGATTGGGGTCCTTCAAGGGCTCACCACATTGATGTCCTGGTATCCTGCCGCTGGATTGTCGAGGGCGATCGCTCCCAAACGAACGAAACTCGCCTCGTATTCATCGCTGTTCACACAATGGGCGGCGGTGAGGACAAACCGACTGGCGATGAGGGATCCGCCACAGTGGAATCCATACAAGTCGAAGTTCTTGCCGGCGAGGGCCGCCATGTGGGGATAGACGCCAGGGTCCACCGCCGTTCCGCCCAGGATGTGCGCCGTTAAAGGCCGTCCGCCGGATCGGATTTTCGCACAGGCTATTAAGAGAAGTATTCCGAAATCGTAATCCACATAAAACATTAATAGGTCTATATACTATAATATATGGGCTTATCGGTTTGTATAAGTGTTAAAAACATATTCAATTAAAAAATCGAAAGCTTTTACGAAAGTTATATTAGGTACTAATATCAAAACTAGTAAAAATTAGCCATCAAAATTATAAATAAGATTCTAGGTTTTAATTGAGTTGCGGATTAGCTAATATTGTTTAAAAGCCAAGATAGTATCGATATTTTACGTATTCACATATTTTATATTTTCCGTTTAACAGTAAATTTCCGATTTAATTAATAAGTCTTCAAGTGTCGTTTTGTTTTTGCACATTAATCAATGATTATTATTTCTATAATTTTGTTTACGTTTAAAAATTTGAGCGTGCAGGAAACTGCTTTCATTATGACCTTTACTTAGATGTACTTTTTTATTTAAGCTATATATATTTTTATCGGCTAATTGCTGCTTCATAACTGTTGTATAAATACTCTAAACCAGTATTTCCCAAAGTGTGGGTCGCGACCCACTGGTGGGTCGCGGGTAGATTTTTTGTGGGTACTAATTGTCATATAGATCTTGCAATTTTTTGTGTTGGTGGGTCGCGGTCCCGACAAGTTTGGGAAACACTGCTCTAAACCATTACTATTTTTAAATAAAAAAAACAATTATCCAATTTGTGTTGCAAAACTTATAGCCGCCTAAAAAAGTTTAAACAAATTCCCCAAAAAAAAATGCTTAAATTTTTATCAATGATCTGGATACTTAAATACTTTTGTAATTAAAAAAAAACCTATAAGTCTAAAAAAAGTTCATGATTTCCTAGTCCAAATTGCATACTTTCTTGTTTTTTATTTTGAACTATAGCTAAATAATTTTATTATTGGCTAAATAATCGAAATAATAAGTTAATGTGGCATAGGACTCACCTGCCACCGCTGGTCGCTCTTTATCCGGAACATTGACCCTCGAGGTGTTCGGACTGGTAAAAATGGAGAAGGCAAAATAAAAGAAAATACATTTTTAATAAAGGGGTAAGGATGAGTTCCGCCTGAGACAGAGACTACATGCGGATCCCTGGCTGAGGCCAACTGATGTCCATGCCAAAACTAATCTCAGACAAACCGCTCGACTGCCTCAAAGGAACTGGGCGTTGAACTGGGCTCCAAATCATTGTCGGGTTCCCTCCAAGGTTGTGGTTGGGGTTCTGGCTCCAGTTGTGGTTGTGGTTGAGCATCCGTTTCCGATTCCGCTCCCCTAAACTTATAGGGCTCGAAGGGATCCATTACTGGTGAGGGCGTTGTTTCCACCACCTGGACTTCGCGTGCCGGTTCGATATGCATTCCCTGTTCCCTCAGGCGATCGTTGACCAAATGGATGAGACTACCATCGCCATTCTGCTGATTTTGGGCCATCGAACGAGGAGTGGTCAATGGGCGATTGACGATCCTTGGCTCTCGGCTATCCCAGCCCCATTGCTGATCCATTCGAGATCTTTGCGTGGTGGCTGGATGTCTATCTTTTGGCGGAGCTATTCCCCAACCGCCAACGCTCTGAATGGGCATCTTGTTGGATTCATGGGTGGGCATCTTCATGGATTGGTGGCTGGGATTGTTTATCGGCTGGTTGTTGGGCATATTCATGGATTGATGGGTTGGTGTATTCATAAATTGCTGATTGGATTGATGGGTGGGAATATTCATAGTCTGCTGATCGGGTGTATTCCGAATCTGGTGGTTTGGCATTGATGGGTGATTGGGGATATTCATGGACTGCTGGTTGGGCAAGGACTTCAAGGACTCGTGGCTCCTCTGCGGCTTGGCAGTTGTGGTGCTGAGCAGCTTGTTGAAGTCGAAGAAGTTCTGGTTCTTATCCAATCGCGACTGGCGATCCGGTTGCGATCTTTCGGTTGTTGTTGTGGGATTCAGGATCTCTGCCTCTCGATCCGGCAACCTGCTGCGTTCGGAACTCGTTTGGGGAACCTCGAACTGGTTAACTCTGCTGCGGAATTGAGAGGGGGTTAGTCCTGGAAGTCAGACGACCAAATGGCATGCAACATCGGCGGGCACAGAGCGCAGGCGGGACACACACACACAAACATAAGAAACCCAAAGGACGAACAAACGAAATGCTGGCAAGGACACGCTTACTCAGTGGGTGGATAGGCGGTGGTGGGGCAGCAGATGATCTCCTCCCGAGCACCGAATCCGCAACTTGGCACCTGACTGGTGGACAGAGATCCCGCCTTGATGTATCCTTCGATATTTTCGCAGGCGGAGGAAGCACGGCAAACGCCCGGAATGTCCGACTTCACCTGGCAAGGATCGCCCTCTGCAAAAGGAACCAAAAGAAGCTAGATCCCTTATCTAGTTGGTGAGCCAAGGGATATCCTACATACCATCCCCGAAAGATTGATGAACCGAGGCAACGATCAACAGGAAGCCCAGTGGAAAGCACCTTCTCGCCCAACGCATCATTGGTCAGCTATAGAAATTCCCACAGTTCATTAGTGAGTGAATCCCAATTCGGTTTCCCTTTTAACCTAATTTATATAATTATCTACTCGAATCAAAGTTGAAAAACATTTTCGCGGCGGAAGGGGAAGCCCTCGAAGAAAGCGGAAAAACCTGTGCGCTCTGTTCTATTCATCGGAGCTGGCCTCTTTCAGCTGATTAAACTGAACTGAAATTGCCATTGACCCACTTAAGATTCTACTACAATATGTAAACAAAGGCGCTCTATAAATCCACAGACTTCTCTACGCTTTGGATGGTAAGCTGGCGGAAAGTTATTGCCAGTTGATTGTGAGAATTTCACCAGGTGAGATCGAACGATGAATCACTTTGGGAAGCCGGTCGTTTATCATTCTGCTGGGATTGTACCACTGACTGAAGACCGAAGATACCGAACCTTCTTCGGAGATCTAGAGATAGCCAACTAACACCTGACAAGAATTTTATTTAATTGGCAAAACCATCTTTCACCTTTTTTTATTACCAGTGGAAACTGACGCGTGCAACAATGAAGCTCCGTGACATCACTTCGAGTGCAAACTGTTGTTTACCTAATTGTTAAACCCTTCAAAAGTTTGTGTATGTAAACTGATAATCAGCTTCCGGCTTTCCGGCGTAATTTTCCCTTTCCGAACACGCAAAAAAAAATAATTAAAGTGGAGCACTCAATGTATAATCCCCACCCACTGTCCACCTTATCGAACGCACCTTTGACACGACCTTTTTTTCGGTCTCTGATAAGGGGAGTACGTGTATTTACGTATTGATGGTGTTTACTTGGTGCGTTTAGCACAAATCCGCGACACACAGCACAGCACAACACAAAAAATATATACTTGTTGAAAAAAATAACCCAAACAAAACAAAACAAATCCGAAAAACCGAGCGGCAATCACGAAAAAAAAAAAAAATAAATAAATAAAAAATACCGCAAAAAGCACACCAGCGGAGCCAATAAAGCTGAAAACCGGTGGCTATTGAAGCACTCGAATCGCGGCGGGATGGCTAGTGGCTAGTGGCTAGTGGCTAGTGGCTAGTTGCTAGTTGCTAGTAGCTAGTAGCTGGACTGGCTGACTCTGACCGCTCAGCAACGCTTCGCCCGAGCAACTGAAGCCCTGGTTTTTGGAACGGCGGCCAAGAAGCGCCGCTTCAGCCAGCTGATAGCAACTGGCACCCAAAAGCCGCTCAGCCCCACTCCGCTCCGCTCCAATCCAATCCGCTACCGCTACCGCTTGCGATGGCGATGCCGATGAGCGGCGAACCGGTTTCCCTCCCCATTCCAGCACTTCGCAGATTCACAGAATCGCAGAACGATCCGAAAGATCCGAACGACGGGGCACAAAGCACACAAAGAAGCCTGCAATTAGCAAGTGGGAACCGATCGGCGGTGGAGGCTCTAGACTGCAGGATACCCTGTAATGGGAGTAGTCCTTCCATACTCCATAATTTCTTTGCCCTTGCCAATCCCTTCTAAACAAACTTCAATTTGAAACCAAATCTTGGTAGGTCAAAAATCTCTAAACTTAGAAAAGCGATTTCAAAAACCAAAGAGAGAACGCTGTAGATACTCGTCACTACATATTTATGTATATCAGGTAATGATCAGCATAAAAGAAATTAAAAATCTCAGGAACTGCAGGCATAATGCATTAATCAACTCACAGCAAAATATATTTTCATTTCCATTTAGTAAATGCCGCCAAAGATAAAAGTCCTTCAATCCGCTCAAAAAACTTTGACAGCTCTTAGTTACTGCATCTGAGCTGATTAAGTTTCTTTAACTATGTTTCTAATCTTTGTAAAGGAAAACATTAATGATATTGAAGAGACAGAAGAATATTGATTTTACCCAAATAAAATGTGCAAAAAATAATAAATCTACTTTGCGTACAAATCAGAAGGGATTCGAAAAATATTAAATTAAATTTTTAGAGCCATGCTCCTTCATAAATTAGTGTATGTTTATTGGTATCAAATCGATTGGATCGCGGTGCACCTAGAGATCACAGATGGGTTTATAGTATGCCAATTTTGGTGAGTCTAGCTCTTAAGCTCTTAAAATTTAATTCAATCCAATGTGACGTCCTGTAGCTGCCGGGCATTCCTGATCCTAATTCGAGGGAGATTCATCAAAATCAGACTCGGTTGTCTGGCCAGACGATGCCCTCGATGAAGTCCAGGTAGGAGGAGACCCGCGTGTAGAGACCCGGTGTCACAGTGGCGCATCCGAATCCCGACGAGATGACGCCCATGATGCTGTACATGCCATCATCCGCGCTGAGCTCCTGGATCAGAGGACCTCCAGAGTCTCCAGAGCAGGCATCTGCTATCAGCCGCTGATCAATGGCGCACAGTAGTGAATCGATCACGCCCTGCTTCAGGACCCGAACCGAACCCGGCTGCTCCGCAAAGGATATGTTGCACTGCTCCAGGGTCACCAGATTCAGACCGGCTCGCAAAAGGATCTTCGAACGCGCCCGAGCTGAGGAAAATTAAAAAACAAATCAATTTCCATGGATATTAGGTTTATAATGCAATGCACAATAAATAAAATTGATAAAATCAAAAACAAAGACATTTTATATCTCATTTACTTCATAATAAATACTCTTCAACTTTATCTTGACAGTTTGAACCTAACAAAGAACAGGGTTCTAAAGTCGGAAGACTTATCATCGGAAGAACATCAAAATGCATTCAAATTTTGTGGGACACTCAAGATAATTATTATATTTTTGATATTTATTTGTATCTTTCTGGATTTGAAATATACTGAATCTCTTTTATATTTTTTATATTTTTTTTTTTTGCGGACTTACTGGTGACGTTTAGGACTCCCCAGCCGGCGACGAAGTACTTGGCACCCGGCGGAGTATCGTCGGGATCCGTGTGAAGACAGGCGGGACGAACGTTATCCGTTTCGACTATATCTTTTTCAAGTTCCAAGACGGCGATGTCGTTGTACTTGCCACCCAAATAACTCGGATGGATCTTTACACTCCGCTAAAAATAGAGGATTTTAGATACCCAAATATAAAGCATATGGATTGCAACTTACCACAGCGATATCCTGGAAATTTTTATCAGGATTCTCGATATTCACCGCTCCCAAACGAACAAAAGCTGGTGTATTTGCATCGGTATTTACACAATGGGCGGCCGTGAGGACAAACCGACTGGCGATTAGCGATCCGCCACACCGGAAATCGGTGCCAAAAGTTATATAGCCGATGGCCGCCATATGGGGATAGACTCCAGGATCGACGGGGTAGCCACCAACGATGTGGATGACCAGTGCGTTGCCCTTCTTCTTCTGCCTCTGCTCTCGAATCTGTTTGCAGGCTGTAAAAGGAAAAGGAGTTTAATTAAATTTATTTCAATTAAGGATATATATATATAGAAACACTACAGGATGATCACATAATTATTGATCGTTTGTTACTTGAATATAGATCACTTCAATACTTATCGCCTAAACACTGATCACTTTACGGTTGATTACTGAACACTGATCTCTGATTATTGATATAACGACTTATGATCACAAGAGTATTGTTTACTCGATTATTGATCACTTGATTATTGAATACCAATCGCTTATTGCATATATTTGATCATTGATCATCAATCACTGATTGATTAAGCACCCAAACCAACCTGCTACTGATGGGCGATCGGTGGGCACATCCACTCGAACGTTGGGACGCTGAATTGTTCTCGCCGTCGAAGTGCTCAAAGTTGTATTTGTGGGAACGGTAGTTGAAGTGCTGAAAGAAAGGATATTTAAGTGATTTTCTCTATTGTTTCTTATTGAAATCCTGTTTGGGGCTTACCTATTTCCACAGCATGGAGTCGTGGGACAGCAGAAGATTTCTCCCCAAGCACCGAGGCCACAGCTGGGCACATCGTTGAGTGTCAGGATCCCCGACTTTATATAGGCATCGATCACTGGTTCGCAATCAGAGGAGGTGCTGCAGACTCCTGGCAAAGTATCCGTAACCTTACACGCCTGACCCACTGAAAAGACCAGGAGACTGACAAAGCTATTTGATTTGGCCTTGGCTTAGTAAGTTCTTACCTCTTGCCGCTCCATCGATAGAAGAACATATTGAAAGCAGGATAATAGCGAGAAAAATCATGATTTTCTGGCTAAATGGCATCTTAATTGACTGAAACATAAATTTACAAATAAATTACGATATAGAATTTACATTTATTCTATCTTTTTGAACATGTTAATCTGGTAAACAAATTAGCGCATCTTTTTGATAATTTGTAAGACTTTAAATATAGTAGTTATTATAGACAGCTTTTTACACCTCAAAGATTTCAAACAAAAGGTATTAAGTCTAAGATGATACGAAAGTTCTTCAATGAGATACTTTATTTTCAGTTTTTTTGCAATCAGAATCACTCAGTCGCAGTCTCTGTCTTAGAAAGCCAAGTAAGAAGGTAAAAATCAAGGTTATCTTCCCAGATATAGTAGTCCGCCACTTGACAGAAAACATAAACAGGTTGGATCGATTGATTCACCTCTTTTTTGGCGCCTGCAATCTCTGTTGTGTCAATCACTCCTACGCGTATTTTTAGCTGATATCGGAAAGCTACCAAACTATTTGTGGCGCGGATTTGTCTACGATAAGGGTAGTACGCAATATTTTTTTCGGATAGAGTGCTGTCTCATTGTTCTCACTATTCAAAGGTTTTCTCGACGAAACCCACCTTTTAACACGACCTTAGGCCAGCTTTTTGATAAGGGAATTGTGCGAGTGCAGTGAGCACTTCGAGTGCGGCAATCAGAAAGCAATTAACAAAAACAAAAAACAAAACAATTAATCAATAATGCACACCAGTGAAGCAAATTGAGCTGAAAAACCGGTGGCAATCGAAGGAGAGACTCAGAATTCAGAACTAAACGCGGCGTTCGAGATTCTGACCGCTCAGAAAGGCATCACCTATGCAACTGAATCTCAACTGAATCGCAAATGAATCTCAACTGAATCGCGGAGCAAAATGTGATGGAGCCGGGTCTACGAAGCCAAGGCAGCTGATAGCTCATGATCACTCCGCTCTCCAACCGGTTTTTGCCTCCGGCACTTGATTTCGAATCAGTACTACAACCGATCTGAAATAATCGGAAACACGAGCAAGGCTTTATTCAACAGATAAACATAAGTAGGCGAGCCAGCCGATTTAATTATGATTTTTTAAGTACATCACGTAGTTTATGCCAAGTGAACAAAACATGAATCAGTTTCTGCGAATTAAAAATAAATAAAAAAAATGGCGAAAAGGGAATCACACTGGTTGGCAAGCGGATGCTAATTGCAGCTTACTGGATTTACAAGTGTTTAATTTATGCAAAAACAACGTAAGTAAACTCATCGGTTTTGTGTATACAGACTTGCAAATTTATGCATCGCTTTATATTTAGCATGATCCAATGCGCCGTTTCCTCCTTCAGTATCTCAGGTTTATAAATACTTTAATAAATATATATTTTATTCACATTATTCTTAGCCTAATTTTAAAGCTACTTTGAGGTTTAAAAAAATGTTCTCTGATATAATCTTAGGCATGTAGAGGTTGCTGTAAAGCTTAAATCTTTTCCAATGTGACCAGGCGTATGACTACTTCTCCTTTGGACAAGCTGCCAGTGTGGCCTTGCTTGTTAAATTGCATCGTTTTCGTTTCGATTCTATCTATGACTATAGTTTGAGTATAGATTGACCTAACTTAACCTAGATGACTGTCGTGGGTCGAGGATTAATTCCTCTGCTCCTGCTCCACAAATCGCCTGAATTGCGGACTAAGCAGGCCGGTAAAGTACATGGCTCTCGCCTCGCAATCGGCGCCAGTGGGCGTGGCGATGCCCAGGGCACAGCGACTTCCACCCGGACGCACCAGATGGAGGACACTGCCCACTGATCCCGGGCAGGCTTGGCAGGTGCTGCTGTTGGAGAAGCGCTGCAATTCCTGGTCACCGACCATCGGCTCCAGGCAAAGATGTGAGCTGCCCAGCTCCTGGACTCCGCCGTAGTTGGCCAGATCTCCACAGACCCACGTGGGCCGCAATCGCATGGGCATCTCATAAAGCGGACAGTCGGTCTCTAAAGAAAATAGGAGCAAGTGGATAAGAACTTCTGGAAGAGATTTGTCTCACAACATGGCACTTACCTTCCCCTTTTCCCCAAGCAACGGCCACCAAACTGCCGCTCACCTGAAGCCGCGTCAGCTCGAACTGGCTGCAAATGGGAGCCAAACTCACATTGGCCGATGTCTGACTGCCCAAGCGGAGGGGATCCTCCAGTCGGATGAGTGAGAGATCCCTTCGAAACTGGACCAGGCGCTAAAAAGAGGGATTTCGTATTGCCATAAGTATTGAATTACAAACAAACAATAAATCTCTATTCAATAATTCTAACATTTCATAAGTATTTAATTAAAGCTTTTTAAGAACAATATAATTCCTGAAGATTTTGGTGTAATAATCAGTTAAAAATTTGTAATTACTAAGAGCTTTTATAATAGAATCGACAAAAAAAGAATATGGACTCACAATGATGTTTAAAATTGAATAATTAAAAAAAAAGGGAAAGAGCAAAATGAACATGTAAGCAATAATTAATATAAACTAAATTCTGAGCTAATATATAATTAATAAAACTTTTGTAGACAAGACCGTACATTAACGTGTTACCTCATTTTTACTAAAATCTACAAGCTTGATAACTATTTCCTATTGCTTCCAAGTTCTTGTTATCATTTTTACAATTTTAATATGAATGGAAGAAAATGTTTAAATTATTTTGTTTGTATTATCATAAAATCTTGTTTTATGAAAAAATGTTGATCGATTTGTTCAGATTAAATTTTAATAAAGTATAATCATTAAACTGTATCCAAATGTATTATGATGTGTTGTCAGATTAACTGCATCCAATTGTAATGTGTTTTTGGGGACTTATATCGCACTCACCACAATGTCAGCGAGGTAATCCTCGTCGGCGTCGAGGTCCCGCATGTCGGCCACCCCGAACACCGCATGGCTGGGCTTCTCGCATCCTGCGGCGCTGACCAGGAGTCGCGGAGTCAGAACGAGGGCGGCACAGTGATGCAGATGCCCATCGAAGGCGGCATTGGGATGGGCCAGCGAGGCCAGATGGCGATAGAGTGGCAGGAGGGCATCCGCTCGAGCGATGACTGCCACCTCCCGGGGATCCTCCTGGCGACCGGCTTCGCTGGAATCCCCACCCAAACTCAGACGCGGAACCGTTTGAACGCGCGGCTGGAGCGGCAGGTTGAGCGGGCAGCAGATGATCTCCTCCAGTACTCCATTCTCGCACGTGGTGAAGTCCTCGTCCCGCAGTCGTCCCTGGTCCAGCAAAGGCTTCACACTGGAACACTCGGAAACAGCTCGACACTGGCCCTCGTACAAGGGAGCCACGCACTCGTCTCCATCGGAGCTCTTCCTAAGTGAGGTGCTGTCCCTCGTCGGTCGGTGGGTGGGTCCAACGGATGGCTCCACGTAATCGCGGTCCGTCTTGAAAATATTCAGCCAGGGTTCTGGTGCCGGAGTAGTTGTAGTTGTTGTTGTGGTGGTGGAAGTGGTAGTAGTAGTAGTACTAGTAGTAGTAGTACTTGTAGTGGAAGTGGTTCCCCTGGTTGTCTCCACCTGCGGATCCAACCGCACCATACTCTGGGCATCCTCGACGGGACAGCAGATCTTCTCGCTGCGACTGGTGAAGCCGCAGTTCATCACAGTTCTCGTGGTGAGTCGTCCTGCTTGGAGATGTGAGGCCAGCGTCTCGCAATCTTCAACGGGTTGGCAGCGACTACGATAATTGGGCGTGGGACAGGGATCACCCACTGAAAAATAATAGGGGAAAAATGAGAAAATAATTAGTATATACAGAATGTCACAGAAAGCATATAAAAATCCCTCGTAACAAGGAATAGCTTGAGTTTTTAGGGGGTTCGTAGGCAATGCGCAATGTTTCCAGAAATAGAATTTATTAAAGGGCCTTTCATTCGCTTAAATGTTAATTTTTTAATTAGGGGGATTTGGTATTTATTTATGGGCTTAATATTTGTTAAAATTCAAAAATTAAATTTTTAAAAAGAGTTTTTACTTTTCGTCAACAGTTCAGGTTACCAAAAGCGATGCAAAACCAACCAAAGACATATTTAAATTCATTATAAATGTGGAGTTTTAGATAAATCTCCTTATCGGTTGGAATATGCTCCTACATAGATATTTATAGCTCTCCAAAAACGAGGTCAAGTTACAGAGAGGCTCGGCTGATAAAGTTGCACTGACAAAAGCGCAACTGTTCGAGGGGTAACCGATAAATCAACGACTAATTGGGCAACACAAATAATTGCTCAGCGGTAAATGTAAAACAGAATGCTGGGTTGACTACTTAGTTGCTCGTCTCAGGAAGTATAATTTACTGCAAGTTGGTTTCCTGTGCTAAGGGAATAGATCATTGATAGATCAAGCGATAGATAGATTACGCACCCTCCAGACTGAAGTAACCCCGGCAGAAGCCCAGACAAAGGCTGGTGAAGATCAGGGCTGAAACACAGCCTCGTGTCCCTCGATGAAACATGGCTCCCAATTCAATTGCTGGCCAAACGCTTTCGATCGCTTTCGATTGGTTTCGTTGCCAAGAATATTCAACTATCGTTGTTTTTCCTCTCGATTTCCCTGATTTTCGATGGGTTTGTTTGTTGTTTTTTGCTTTTGAGTCTTTCGGAGCCACCGGAGAAACTGACCGATCGACGGCGCTGCTGGCGATCAACTGGCAGCTGGAACGATCGCGGCTCTCGGAGCAATCGAGCTGTCGATTCTCTCGGCCAACTGGTTCAACGATCTTCGGAATAACGTAAAAACAATCAAAACCCACAGAGAAATAGTGAGCAAATCGAGGGATCTTTCGGAAAGAGCACCGTTGACCCAACATGATTGATTCGAAAAGGTTAGTCATTGACTTCGGGGGGATGGGAGAAACCCCGCGTGGAAAACAAATACTACATCCTCTGAGGGAGTTCGGGGAGCACCTCGCCGTTATGTCATCCATGCATTGTGCAATTATTACCCAATTCTCAATTAAATAATAATAACTACCCTCAAAAAGCAGCAATCACCAATCAATTTCATCTTAGTTTATTCCACTGGATTATCACTCATTTTAATGACTTCCATTGATGAAGTCCAACGCCGACTGATTGACCAAACTGGTATAGTGGAGATCGGCCCTGCCGATGTTATAGCATCCGCCTCCGGTGGGCGTGGCCACTCCGGCCGCACACACACTGCCATCCGCTTGGATCGCGTGGAGGACACTCGCTCCGGCTCGCAGGCACCGGAAACAGGATCCCTTCGTGACTTCCGGCGTGTTTATGGGGTAAACACAGAGGTGCGACTCCCCGTCGACCTTCAAGGTGGTTACCACATTGCATTCGCCAAAGGGCTTCAACGACACCTCCTGCTCAAACCACTCACAGTTGACATCTGGAAAATATTTAACATGGGAAGGTTAATAGGAAAAACAAATTAAATGCAAAAGACAGCAATAGTAACTTCAAAAGTATAGCAAAATATTATAAAATATTATATAAATGAATGAGGTTTAGAAATATTTAAGAATACATAAAAGAAATATACAATTTGTAGTATATGTATATTTATATTTGTTTTTTAACTGAAAAGAACGTAACATTAGCTGTAGAGTTAGAAACAAAAAAAAATTCAATAACACTTGTCTTTCTAAGTAAGAAAAATATAAACTTATCTATAGCAACGTTATTTTAAGACATAATACTACATTATTTATTAAGATGGTTATAATTTGGATGTTATTAAATAACTTCAAAATAAATACTCACCATCTTTTTGGGCGAAACCCACAGCCACCAGCTTTCGACAGCTGTCTATATCCTGCTGCCTGCAGATTTTGGCCACTGCCTCCATTTTAAAATTACCAGTCAGCCCAAACAGGACGAGGTCATCGTTATGAACATAGCTATTCTGGAAATGGTGTTTGCAGGCGGGTCACTCCCTTAAATGAACCTTAAATAACTTACTTTGGTGGGAAGTTCTTCCTGAAAGGGATTAACAAGGCCGAGACGAAAGCGGTTTGGCATTTCCACAACGTCTTCCAAACCCGCACAATAGGCCGAAGTGAGAACCAAATTCTGCTTGACGATCAGAGCTGCACAGCGATAAAGATACGAGTCCAGGGTGATGGCATTAAGATATCGGAACGATCCCATGTGGGGATAAAGTGTTTGGGGATCCAACTCGGAACTGGAATTTCCTGGACTTTTAGGAGGGATCGTGGGTATAATGGAGGGATCCTGCGGCGGTTGATTGGGACAGCAGATCAGCTTCTCCATCTCGTTGCACTGCACCACATTCTCCTCGGTTAGAGTCTCCCGGAGAATGTGGCTCTGGATCATCGAGGAGCAGTTCTTCCGACAACTGCTTTCGGGATAGTTGTTTATACTGGGACAGGGATCCCCCTCTAGAGTCAAATGTTTATGGATTTGAATTGATAAGAAAGGGGGTTTGATCACCCACCTCTAAGCGAAACCTCTAATTTCTCCGCCCCTTCCGTAGTTTCAATAAACACAGCAATCACAATCAGGAATCTCCACATTCTGATGCAGCTTCTCTCACGATTCGCACACAACTGAGTGGCAGAATAATCTCAGCTTCGGAGAATCTATATATGGAATGCATCCTCCCCATCACCCTGCACTTCCTTCACGCCTCCTTCTCAAGCTGGTCTTATCTTCGTTTTCGTGAACCCTGAGAACCACTCGTGGATAATAAATTATGTATTCATGTTTATTTAAATTGGAAACTGCTCCTTACAATGTTTATAATTGTTTGTTATTTTGAGCAGGCAATTACATATTTAGCCGGCTTTTCCTTTCTTAATTTATCATATACAAATTCAAAATATGCGCAATGTACCATTATTGAATAATTATTTTTATTTCTATAAAATCTCTAGAAAACCTGCCCTTTCGATTTCGTGCTGAGGTACAGTGGTGTTCTTTAAGCGTTTTTACTATTTAAATTATTATTATTTAATTAAAATTATTAATATTAATATTTTTTAATATTAATTATTTTTTGTTTGTCCAAAAAAAAAAACAATTCATACTTTATTTATTTTGGAAAATGTGATTAATTTTTAACGATAAGAATGTTACGTAAAATTACCTAATCCAATAATTATATTTTTTTTTAATTAAATATATCGTATTTGTTTTTCAATACCAAATAAATGAGAAACACGTTTTATAAGATGAATTGTTTTGGGGTCTCTTGATAGAAAAAGTCAAGATTTAATCAATCATAAACCGAAAAGTACTCCCCAAAAAGAACTTGTTTTTGTCCCATGAAACCTTATCGGCAACATCGCGAGTCGCGACTTGTTGGCCAGACCAAAAAACCTGTCTGGAAAGCATTGGTTTCGATAGGGCGCCAACCAAGTGGGAAAACTTTATTCTCTCTCTCGTTTTAGGGTTTCGGGAACAACAATTGAAACAAGTTGGGATTTGTGAATTTGCATGGGAGCTCCACTCGGAGCGGAGGCTCCTTCTTTAATACACAGATCTAAGACTAATAATACTCTCGGCGGAAAGGGGCAGGTTGTGGAGATTGTGATCACAGTTGGGTTCCAAGCGAAACTTTTATTGTGGCTGAAAGTGCAGTATTAGCAATTCCTAGTGGATGATCCTAGTAGCTATTCCTAGTAGCCATAGATGAAGGTTTCGTAGACGAAACTGCGCGTGGAATTGGAGGTGAGCAGGATCTCCACGTTGGTCTGCCCGATCCCTCCCTTACTGAGGTATCCGCCAGCATCGTCCGCCGACATGTCCACATAGACCTCGATGCAGGTGAGCGTAACTCCGGTGCTCGCTCCGGCTGGATAGCTCATCAGCACCTCCACATCCTGGGCGATGGAGAAGCTCTCATCATCGTAGTGATTCACGATCATCCGATCGCCGGAGGTTCTCTCCCCAGAGGTAAAGACAATGTTCCCCTTCGAGTGCTTCACCTTGTCCATCTCCTGGAGCTGAATATCCGGATTCAGGGCGGTGTATCTGGTGTCATCGGTGACGGGTGTAATATCGGTGTAGTAGAGATCGCTGGCACGAGCATGTGGTTGTCCGGACACCAAAGCCGTAATCCCCGAAAGCAGTAAGATCACGAGCAGCATTTTCAAATCACGCAATTGATCAACAGAAAAAAAAAAAGAAAGAATTCTTCGGGGGTGTAGAGTCTTCTTCTAATGCACTATTCTCGACCGCCTTTTGGATTTTGGCTGGTGCTGGCGACTGGCGAGGGTTTTTATACGCCACTCCCTTATCGGCGGTCACTTCCTCGATAAGGCGGCTCGACAACTGAACGATAAGCACCGGGAATCGGGGAATCGACCACGGCAATTTCGGCAGGAGCTCTTATAATTGGCCATAATACTGTGATCAGTTCCTATAAATAGGCCGCTTTACACTAATCGTATCGATGGGAATGGATCGGATCGGATTTGGTGGGAACACGTTTTCTAATAAGCTCGTGAATCAGCGGAGGTTTTTCTTATTGCTACAGGAGTACCTTTTATATGGGATTAGTTAGTTAATTGGGGCAAATAAATATTGTGTAATCTATACAGCATTTATTATTATCTTTATTAATTAAAAATATTTCCTACACAAGTTTATATAATTCTGGGTGGTGAAATTGCTCATGAGTTTATGGCACTTTTAGCATAAATAGATAATTTTCAGAAATTTCTAGTTCCCTTGGACATAACAAAAACAATTAAGACGGTTGGGTATTAAAATGTTTAAACATTGGTGAAAACATATTTACTGCATTGTTTACTCAAAACATTTTATTAACATTATACAATGCTTTTTATCGTTCTGATTGTGGTCACAAACCTAGACTACAATAAAAAAGTTTGCTATAAATGTTGCCTACTGTACTTTCACTGGCTTCTATATTAATTCCCAATATTTATAGGTTATTAACCTACTTAAATTTAATTCCTATTAAACCTGATGATCTACATTAATTCCCAACCCTTTACATATACAGATAATAAACACACTTGAATGTTAACTCCTCCATAAATAGAAACCTTCATTGTCTGAAGTGATCGCCGATGATCATGATTAACTTGTTAATCTAGCCGTTACACACTTAGATAATTCCGCTACTTGAAATTAAACTCCTCTATAAATAGAAACCTCGGAATGTCTCAATTGATAAATCAATTGATCGCTGATGATTAACACAAACACTGGGAATGAAAATGGGAATGGGAATAGGAAGTGCCAACCAATGATTATTATTGGCCATCTCTTGGGGGCCGAGACTTAGTTGGCGCGTGTTTGTTTGTTTATTCGGCCGACGGCAATCTTAGCCTTGATATGCATATTGGCGCACAATGGCAAACAATCTAATAAACAAATAGCCCTATCTACAAAGTCAATTGCCTGTCTACGCAACATGGCCATTGGCACTGAATCGATTCATGATTGACGTAGCCACAATTCCCCAGTTTTATCGAAGAGAAAGTCAGGGAAAAGAGCGTCTAGAATACATATAGTATGCTCAAATGGTAATTCCCAATTGACCAATATTAACTCGTGGGAGTTCAGCTATTGTTCGATTCGAGTCGGTGATTCATGTTGCAGGGGAATTCCTCCTAAGAATCGACTAGATAGCTGGAAAGTTCAACAACGTCAGAGTAAGTACCTTAATTTCGTAGAAGAAACTTGGTGCGTCCGACTTTTTGGCAGACAAATCCGGGTGGAATTTATGAGTTCACTATTTTCATTTCACTTTCCATGACGCCGTCTCAATCGGATTCCAAATCAAATTCAGGTGAGTGGCTGTCCCAGATTTATGGCACAACTGTCATCGGTTTCGAGTGGAAGGCGCGTGAGCGACGAAACCCATTTGAAATAATTCGAGATTAGCGAATAGCCCGAGGCTATGATGATATATGATCCCCAATAGAATCCAATAGGGGCATTCAGTTCTTCACAGAAAAAGAATTGAGCAGAGAAGAGTGACCTACTCCTAAATTAGTGGAAATAAGTTGAACAACAGACGTCCTATTTTAAAATGAAATATATCTCAAAGCTTGGGACTAAACTATCTTTTATCTCAAATATATTTATTACACATTCCTGAAATAATAAAAAAATATATGATTATTGTTCTAATGAATAATGCTGGAAAAACTCAGACTTTAAATAACCTGGTCATTCCTACGCCAAGATATGATATTCTGAATACAATTCCCACAATATGGTTTTAAGAACCACTTTTATACTTATATGAATCACCTTCAAAAGATAACGACATCCTCTCTGATTAGGTATTGTGTTTATATACTTTTTACTATTAAATAGTTTTATATACACTTAGTTTAAGAATAAAATGCCTCTATCCGTATACCTACAAGTTTATAAATACAATTTGGGATTGTGTTCCTCGTTTTCTAATTATAATTATTTTAAATTAAAATTTAACTATTTTTGGGAAATATATAGGGGAATTGGTGACCTCTTTATTATTCCTTCTTTTAACTAATTATTTTCTTGTTCTCACTCCACAAATAAAACCATGCTTGTTACTTATAACGAGGTAATCTCACGATTTATACCGACATTAGCCGGCCTTTATACACATATATTTCTTTTAGATTGTAGTCTAGGTACACAAATTTCAGGGCAAAAAAAAAATATCCAATAGCTGGAGAGGATGCCTAGTCCGACATGCCGTAATACTGAGCCTGGTAGGAGAAGTTCTTGGTGTTGCTGGCCTCCAGGATGATGGAGATGTATCGCTGGCCGATGCCTCCGGCGACCACATAAGCATTTCCATCGTTGTTATCCTGTGTGCACAGCAGCTCCACATAGGAAACAATGGATCCAGCGCCACTTTCCGGATAGGTGAGCTGCAGACTGACGTCCTGCGAGCGGGAATACTCAAAGGTGTCGGCTGACTGGGCCACCAAACGATCGCCTGAAAGTATGCCAAATTCGTTAATTAATAATCAGTGGTTAAGGTCTTTGCTTTTTGTTTATTTGGGTGGAAAGGGGGATACTTACTAGGAATACGGGCTCCCAGGTTGTAGCGAACGGTCTGATCTCCAACACGCGCCTTTCCCGGCACGATCTCCTTGTCCAAAGCCTGGACCCGCAGACCCGGATGCTGGGCGACAAACAGATTGATGTCCTTCACCACCCGGATCTCATGGCTATCCACGCGAATCTTGCCAGCTGCTCCACCGGACACAAGGCAGCCCAAGAGGACGGACAACAGGATCAAACTGAACTTGCACATCTCGATTGCGATTGGGGAAGTGTAAACTGTAATTGTGTATCACCAGTCGCGGCGCTTAAAAGTCACGGAATGATGGCCAAGGTCTGGAAGGCAACTATTTATACCGAACAGGGGAAGTCGCCGCCTTGCTTTGAATCACATTTTCTGGCCCCTTATCAGAACACCATTGCCAATTTCGAGTGGCAAGTGACAATGTCTAATCCGAAACCGGAAAATGGGCAACACCGAAGGGGGAAACCCCTTTCTCAGAACCAAAAACCAATTGGAACAGCAAGAGTAAGTCAACAACATAATATTAAGGAATAATAATAAATAAAATTATTAGTTTTTATAAAGATATATTCTGGTATGCGAACCCCTAAAAGTTTATCAACCCCATAAAAGGGTAACAATAATAACACTGATAAGAAACCCTGGCACTTCAATTATTCAATTAAATTGAACAATTTTGGTGTTATTGCGCTGGGATCTAATCATCCCGGCAGCTGCGACGATGTGCCAATGGCCTGAAGATAACGCGAGAGGGCTCTAATTTGGGGGAGTACGAAGTATCCAGAAGTAAACAACAAACATTCCCACATTTGCTGTTGATTAGCCAATCGAAACTTAGCGCAATCTCAGGCCACAGGATTGCCACCCCTCCTCCGCCTCTCCGTTGGAAACTTGCCCCCTTTCCCGCAGAGAAAGAGCTTCCCGGAATCTTATCGCCAGCGGACTTCCCTGGAACTGGGGCGTCGAGTACCTTCGAGACGAATCGCCCCATCACTGTCACCCTTCTATATCGATATTGCTCATTCGATTAAACAATAGGTTCTGAATCACCTGCTTAAATTAAGAACCACTTCTGCCATTCTGCACGATCTAAAGTCCTAATAATATTTCTAAATCAGCATAGTAACATATTTGTAGGAATTTTTTTGCGAAAATAAAAAGTCTTTAAGCCTACAATAAAATTTGGTAAGAATTCATTATTGCCGCATAACAAATTTCTCATAAAAATGTTATTGGTTTTTTAAACTAGCTAACTAGGCAATCTCTTCATCACAAAATTTATAAATTTAAGGTATAAAAACGAAAACTAAAGTCCCAGTACCAAACACCTCATTTTCAAATAATTATGAAATAAGGTAATAAAAAAATCGTAGTTATATAATAAAGTTATATTATAAAGTTCGTAACTTTCCCTTTAAGAATAACAAGATGAAAAACTATAACTGATGGAATAGCTACTAACTTTTAATATTTCTTGTCAAACGAAATTATGTTTCATTTGAACAATCTTATTTTCTTTGCTCTTGAGGTTACCAGCACATAATCTAAATCTAAGTAGAAAGCTCGAAATGCCAGAACCTTGAAAAACTATAACCTTTCAAAAACTATTTTCAGTAAGCCCACAAATAATTAAGAGCTTGGTTTACAAGGTAAAGTGTTTAGAAAACGTGTTTATTTCTATGCTATTATTCAGACTTATCAATAACTCTAGAGTTACACATGAATGTAAAATATTGTTGTCAAAAATCAAACTCCCGAAGCACTTGCAACGATCAATTACGATTACGACTACCTGGTACAGAGAGCTTTACGGAAATCGGAATGAAACGTAAACGTAAACAATTTAAGAGCCGAGCTTCGCTGCAGACTCACTAGATCGGTTCGGATTTGGATTTGATTGGATTATAAGATCATAAAGATTAGATTGGAATGTGGCAGCATCGAAACTTAGCTAAGGTTAGTTCGAGTTACAGGAGTACAGACTAAGGTTAGTACATTAACTTGTGTTGGCAATCATAAAGCAAAACAATCTGCGGTCGTGTCGTTCTGTTCCTAAACAAATCCTCTATTGCACTCGATCCACCAACGACTTCTCGCCCTCTCTCTCTCTTTTCCACTCTTGCTATCTCCCTCTGATTCAATTCTATCTTTCTATCTGTCTCGCACTCTACCTCTCTCACTCAAACGCAAGGACGGCATGGAAATCCCCCAAATTTGGAACCTAATAATCAGTATAACTACTATATGAGATTCGCCAATTAAAATGTGATGATAACCGACTAATTTTGATGAGTTCTTGCTCTACACTAAGTGCCTTTTTTGTTAAATTTAAATCTGCGTACTGGATCATTTAAAGTTAATAGTTTTAAATGCAAACAAATCACATTTTTGGAACACTACTCAAAGAACACACATTTAGATTTAAAAATTGCTAATTGATCGTACTGGCAAAGTCGGACTCCAGCTTTTAAATTGCTTACAAGTATTGTCTACAAGCATTTGCTAATTTATAAGAATAATAATCCACGGGATGAGATTTACAATCTAAACGAATTTGTTGTACAAAATCGAAGCCCTAAGCTTTAATAATATCGTTCGAACATTTAATGCCCTGGCCTTGGATCCCGATTACCTGGGGGATTTCCATGTGCTCGCAGTGCATGTGTACAGTGCGTTACATAAATGCTTATGTTTATCATATATATCTGTATGATTTCTTGTCTTATTTGTTTTTTTAAGTGTATGTGTGTGTGTGTGTGTGTGTGTGTGTATAATCGTATGCGTTACAAAAAACCAACAACAATTCCATTTCTCATTTTCACTAAATTGCTTTTGTCTAAAATATCGCCCCCGTTTGCCCCGGCTGAAACCCTTGTGATCCGTCCATTGACCTTCCTGCTGCTCCTCCTTCTCCTTCTCCTTCTCCTTCACCTTCTCTTCCTTCTCCTCCTCCTTCCACTCAGTTGGTTGATCCATGCTGATCCTCCTCCACACTGGGACTTACCAGCGCGGGCGAATCTCCTTGAACCACCACTGCTGATAGCTATCGTTCACATCGCAGTGGCCCAGCGACAATTGCTGAGTGGCCGGGTGCAGAGCCATGCACTTCTTGTGGACGCGGTGCATCAGGTGCTTCGTGTGCTCGTTGTACTGCCACGGCCCATCGACCGTTCCCAGGCGACAGACGGCCAGCTTGATGCCCTGTCGATCGGCCTCCACGCAACGTTCGCCAACTCCCAGCTGTCCAGCGGCATTCAGCCGCACCAGCTGATTGTTTCCACCGCCATGACAGTAGGTTAGGCCCATGATAGCAGGTGGCTGGTGGCCCATGGAGTCCAGACAGCCATCGGAGGCCACGGAACGCAGTTCGCCCCAGTGGAGATTGGCCGGCAGGCCGGGGAACTTGTCGTACACATCGTAGGCGATGTGGTCCATGAACCACTGGAAGCTCTTGCAGTTGAGCCGCTTCTTCAGCGCCAGCTGCTCGCTAATGTCGCCCATGTCCAGGTAGCGAGCGAGCGGCTCTCGCGTGTAGAAGTACTCCTTGTGCGTGTCATCGAACCACGTTTCAATCACGCGCTTGTAGTTGATCGTGATCAGCGGACCCTTCTTCTTGCTGGCCAGCTTGCCAAAGTTGTAGGGCATAAAGCCGCGGTAGACGTGACCGACGCGGGAGCAGGGCACCCACTCGATGCTGCCGCCGCACTGCCAGATCTTGAAGCTCAGCTCGAAGTTCTCGCCGCCCCAGACGAGCAGGCCGGGATCGTAGGCGCCCAGCTCGAGGAAGTACTCCCGATTGATGGCGAACAGGCCGCCGGCGTGCGTGGGACTGCGATACGGTTCCGAGTTGTGCGGACGACGGCGCTGTTCGCGGCGCGGCACCTCGTTCTCCTTGTACAGCATGCCCCACTCGAAGATGCCGCGGAAGTGGTTGTCCGTCCCGTAAACCGGGCGATACTCAAAGTTCTTGTGGTCGATGCCATCGATAATGGGCACCGTCATCACGGTGCGATCCCGGTAAATGGGCGCCAGCAGCGGCGGCAGCCAGTTCGTGTTCACCTCGCAATGGGCGTCCAGGAAAACGATCACCTCACCTGTGGCGTAAAAAAGGATATTAGGGATTTGATCGGACATTGAGTTATTATAAAAAAATCAATATTTTGAAGACCTAAGAAATCTCGAATGGGATTTTAATTGTGACCTAATCCATTGAATTTAAGGACCATTTTGAATATTTGTGTATTAAAAAGGATAAACAAGCTACAATTAAATTTTCCTAATCAAGTTTTATATATTTCTTATTTAAATAGTACTGAAGGTTTTAATCTCATGCATTTATAATACGAATTTCAACCAAAATAATAAACTATCAAGTTTGTGTTATGAGTCATTTGATATTAATCATGCCTTATCGTTTTGATCTTACAAAACGTGCAGTCGAACTCAAATTCCTAATACATGACTTTCAGCACTTGATAACCATTTCTTAGATCCAAAATCGTTCTTTTCTTTTACTTGGTCAACTCTTTTTCATTCTGAAGCTCTGGCTCGTGCTGTTTATCACTCTCATCCAACACAACGTGGAGTTTCATTAATTAAATTCTAAATAGCTAACAACGTTCAGCGGTTGATAAAAATCTCTTAAGTTGATATCAGACATTTTTCATTTGGACACGTTCTTTGACTAGGTGACTACTATGAAATACTTTTGGTTTGGAATTATAACTTAAGCTTATTAAGCTGCTTCCTCTTCGTTTTCAATACACCATGGGGTACGTACCTGTTGCCTCCATGGCTCCCCGGGATCGCGTCCGGATGAGACCCTCGCGCTCCTTGTTCCTGATGACCTTTACGAGACCCTTGAACTGCAGCACATACTCGTCCAGCTGCTTGCGCAGGTTCTCCTTGTCGGAGAAGTCGTCCACGAGGATGATCTCGTGCAGCATGTGCGTGGGCGAGCGATCGATGACCGAGTGAACGGTGCGCATGAGCACCGAGAAGCCCTCGTTGTGGAAAACGATGATGACGCTGGTGCGTGGCAGATCGAAGGGATAGTCCCAGTGGCGGCACTCCTCCAGCCGCGTGTCCCGCACCGATCGGTGCATCGATATCTCGTCGGAGCAGGCGATGTTCATGCCGTACTCCATTTCCGAGGCATCGGACATGTGCTTCTTGTCCGGCGACAGGCTGTGCGCCTCTCCGTTCTCTCCGGGTCCGCTACGTGGCTTCACATCTTTCGGCTCGAAGTTTCCGAGACCTGAAAAATGCGAATTCGTAATGTGAGTGACGAGTGCAAATGCGTGTGCAGGCCAGGCCTCCAGCAATTGTTTAAATATTGACCCCAGACATTGTAGGCTTTCGCATGCAGTGGGTTTTGGGTTTTAAATTTAGACTTATGTATAAAGAAGGAGTGATCTTTAGGCGTATGGGTGCATCTTGGTCTGTGTTTTTGTGGCACTTTGACAAATAAGACAATAAATATAACACATAGGTGTTTTTACGATAGGATCTCATCCCTGCGGTTTTCAAAATATGGAATTTATATATTAAGCTAAAGAAATGAGTAATACACAGAATCTTATGCCCTTCTTAAGAACACGTAGCAGATTTTAACCAAAATTGGAACATGCATAGCGCTTTTGTTTGTGATTAGACAGTTAGTGAGAAATATGCTGTGGCCATGACTGTTCTTTTTGGTTCTCTTCCCGCTCTTTCTGGAATTAGTAGGTAGGGCTATTATAAAGCCGGTTTTGAAGGAATGTGTATCAGGGTTTGGTGAACATTTTAAATGAAATAATGGTGAGCCCTGTACTTCACTGCCAGAGAACGGCATAGAATTCAAAATAGGATTCCTAGAGGGCCATGATAAAGCACTTTTATATGAAATGCAATCAATAGTGGTTGCCATTTAAAATTAAATGTGTATTATTATATGTGCTATACGTTTTTTAAAGTATGTATGTATGTATGGATATTTCCTGTTCTTTGAATAATACATGTAAAAATGTATCGTTTAGATCGGCTAATAAGAAGCGGGAAAATCTTTTACAGGGATATCCTGTTGCAAATCAATGATTTATAAGCCTGGTTAGGATAGTTCTGAATGAAGGCTGTATAACTTGGTAATTGGTTTTAGATAAATAGCGGTTTTGTATGCACTATGATCTAGAAATGACAGCATTATCCTTCGTCCTGTTCAACCACCAAAAGCTTTTTCGTTAGATTTAGAGCCCTGATAAAGACGAATAATGTTGATAGGAACTTAGTGAGCATTGCAACAAAAGGATTACAATATTATCCTTGATTCTGTTCCAACTTACCCTCCACCAATTTGGGGACCTCGCGCGGACGACTCTCCAAACGCTGGTGGGCGAACTTGGGACCGCCGAACCTCGTGTGGTAGGCCTCCTGGACCCGCTTGTGGTGATCACTCCAGTTGGCCAGGAGATAGAGCAGTGGCAGCAGCACCAGAAGACACAATGCCAGCCGGCAGATCCGTCCACTGCGGATATTGCTCACTCGCATTTTGGTGCTGCAAGTTCCCAGCGTCTAAATTCCAGTTTCCAGTTTCCGATTTGAAATCGGCGATTACCAATCTGTTGACGTGTCTAGGTGGCCAAAAGGAGGAAGCGCGGGGAGCGGCGAAAGGTGACCAGAAAGCAGAACAAAAGAACTTTCGATTCGGAGAGATGCCGATGATCAAAGGCGCCCGCCGATAAAATGACAAGTGCTGCGGCGAAATAAGCCTGGTAAAAAAAAAAAACTGGCCTCAACCAAACCGTCCCGTTCTGCGACTTATTTATCTCGAGAGCCACTTGCCGGCGAAAAATGCGCCGCTGGCTCGAAACAAATTGCGAGTGCAGGTGCTCGAAAATTCGCGGTGCAAACGTAAACAAAAAAATGAGAAATTGTTGAGCTTAGAGCTGCAAAAACATCGGACTCACAAACGATAGTATCGATGTTTTGAAATTGTTCGATTGATCGATGTTTTGATCGCAGCATCGATGTTTTTCGGGTGGGTGCCCCAGGTCACCGTGTTTTTTCAACACGGTTCAATACATCGGTTGCTAACATAGACGTAAAAGGGTTGCTTAGCGAGTACACCTTCCTAATCTAGCGAGTACACCCTCTAATCTTTTTTGTCGATTTCTTTTTAAATCGATAGCTTTGTTTTTATATTTGTGGCGCAATTTTAGTTAAATTTTTTTAGGAATTTTTATTGTTTATGGACATGCGCCTGTTGCGCTCCGCCGTATTGCGAGTATACTCGGAAGTGGAAGCAGAAGGACCAGCAGGAGCAGAGGATCCCCCGCCAGAGGAGCTGCTGGCCGAGATTGCCGGTGACTCTGCGTCACGTACGCTTCCTCAACTATGTGGTCCTCCAAGATCCTGGCGTGCAAGGGGTTGCCCTGGACGCCCTGAGCGAAATCTACAGGCTGGACTTTGCCCAGAGAGCCGAGAAGTTTTCCAGATTCCGGGACTATCGATTATGGCAAGCGCGTCTTGAGAAGCTCTGCAGGGAGGCCATCGTCTCCGGAATGTACACGGCGGATTCGGCTTTCCTGGAGGACAAATATGGTGTACCTCTGCCTTTGGTTTAGGTGAAATACCACCTCAAAATGCAAAAGGATGCGGGAAGAAGTAGAAGAGGTAGCTAACAAGTGAGTAATCAAATTACCTATTATTTTGTGTAAATAAACATTACCTTTAACTATCCCTCTGAAGGACCGAACGAATCTTGGAATCTGGTTAATCCTAAAAATCTGGCCATTTGGAAGGACAAGGCGATAAGAAGTCGAAAGGTCTAAGATTTTCCACTAACAATGTCCTAAAAAGTAGCTAGTTTAATGAAGATACTTAACAAGTAAATAATCAATACAAAAAACAAACTGTACAATTTTTCCAAATAGAAGATCTCCAGAAATAAATGGATGTTATTTAAAGTTGAACTTAATGTTACTATTTTTAAATAAATATTTAATATGAATTCTAATGAATATTTATTGTAAGTCCCTTTTAAACGACTCTCCTAATCAAAAAAGATTGTGATAGCCAACAGAAAACATTAAAAACGCACATAAATAATATCAAAAAATGTACAATGTTTTGTCTGCAACAGGATCATCTGTAATATAAAATTGAAATATTAAATAGTAGTTAGAGATATGGAAAATCGAGTGAAATAACCAATATTACTATGGATTTAATCCCTTATTAAAATGTATCTTAAGCAATTAAACGTAGAAGATTATATGTTTTTGGACTGGACTGTCAGTAACTCAAATAGAGCCGTGCAGATAACTAACAAATTAAGAGTTATACTCTAATTGATTTCTTTAAAATGTATTAATAAGTAGGGCGAAATGCAAGAGGAAAACTTTAAATAAAATGTAAAAAAATAAGAGGCAGAAAGATTTCCATATTTTGTAACATGTTTTCTTTACATTTAAACTGAGGTTAAGTTTTTAAGTAGAGTTTCCTAATTTATTGTTTAAGACCAACAACATTTAATCCGTCTAAAGTAACATAGTAAATAAAGTAGAGTAGAAAGTAGATGTTCTGAAAAGTAGTCAATTGGAATTAATTCAGCGAGTAACCCACGCTTTCGAAGCATTGCAATCAGTAAAAAGTATTTAAAAGTTCTTTACTAAATTTATTTAGATCACTATCAAGTCAAAAAGCTATACACGAATTATTAACGGTTTTAGTAGGTGGTTCTGCCAACTCGAGGCAGATTTGAACTTAAATGCAAATCATGAACTTGTGCCAGTGGACAGTTTGTTTGGTAGTGGATTTTATTTCCAATCAAAATCGATTTGACCTTGAGTTGGCAGAGCCACTCACGACAAAAATAAGATCGCAAATACAAGCTTAAATTAACGGTTTTATCTAAATATACACTATTCATTTATGTCGGATCCAAATGATATATTCCGTGTTTATCCGTTTGTAGGAAAAAAATTTTCAAAAAAAAAAGAACCTCGGGAACCATTAAAGCTAGAGAAGTGGAATATCCCAATCGAAGTTGTGGGAAACCATCGCTTTAATAACTTATTCCATTCAGTAAATAATATAATCCATAATCTTGATGAAAATGCTTAACAGTTCTTTAAAATTGTGGTGAAGTCATGACAGTTTGCGGTTTTTAAAGAATGCAAACCCTACCAGAATTGTACTTAAAACTAATTACATTTAAAAGCTAGTCTGTTTAGCAGTATCCTTTCTTTCTTACCATTTTAAGAAGCAATATGTTTTGCAATTTAATGCGGCTTTCGTTCGCCGGTTCGTCTTTAATATATATATATATATATATTTGTTTTTTTTGTTGTGCTTAAAAGCCGACAAATTAGTAAAAAAATCTTAAATACAATCATTATTTTTAAAAGTAATTTCAATAAATAATTATTCGTTTAAATACAATTATATTTTAATGGCTTAGTCACAAACATTAAGACATTTTGTTTAATTTCAACGCTTTTCAAATGCTCTATTTACATGTGTGTTCCTCGAGTACTTTTGTACAAACTTTACATTTAACCTGGCAACACCAGTGAAACTTGCAATTGCAGCGCTCCTTAACGATAATGTTTTTCGTATTATAGCCCCGTCCGCAGCAGAGTATGGCACAGCTGTCCAGGCCCGAGGAGTTCTTCCGACAGACGCGTCCGTGTGTTCCTGGCCAGTGCAGCATGTAGCTGGTGCGGCACCAGTCCGGGCTCTCATCGATGTAGATCAGATCGTGGGCGGTCGGCACCTTGAACGGCAAGTCCTTCACCTGGAGACGTCCGCGCTTGTTGATCTTCACCTTGGTGGCACCCTCGTACTTCTCGCGCAAGTAGTCGCCGATCTCCCGAATGGATGAGAGCTGCTGCCAGCAGGTGATCAGGCTGCAGGACCCGGAGACGCCGTGGCACTTGCACGTTATCCTTGTCTTTTTGATCACCGCCCGACGGCCGGCCTCGTTGTTGTGCAAGTTCATCAGGCTCCTGGCCTTGGCCGTTGAGGAGCTGCGATAGAGGATGCCGTCCCTGTTCCGCTGGAATGCCGGCTCATCGGCGGCCCTCTGGTTTTTTCTCTTCTTCTTACGCGGCTGCTCCCCCTTGAAGATCTTCGAGTTGACAATCTCCTGGTTGATCTTCTCCTGCAACTTGATCCTCTCCTTCTCGTCGATCTTCGATGTGAGTATCTCCTTGGTGATGCGCTGCTGCAGTTCCAATAAGTGCTGATCAAAGTTTTCGCTGAGGAACTGATTGTTATCAGCTTCTTGGCTTTTTCTGCTGACGTTCTTTGCGGCGGTGGCGGTGGCGGCGTTGGCGGCGGCGGCGGCCAACGCTGTGTCGTTTTTCACATCCACATTGGCGTCATCGGAATGCATTCGATTCTTATTGTTCTCGTCGCGAGCCCGCTTTCTTTTGATGCCGCGCGTCTCGCGGTTCGTCTCCTTCTCCCGCGAGTCAATGAAGTCCGTTGCGAACTTGTAGGCAAACTCCAGATTGTCGCCGCAACCGCCCCAGTTCCAGTCGTCGTGGAGCTGCTTGGGTCGCGGACCCCGGGAGCAGCTGCAGGATGCCAGCTGGCCATCGCGACAGGCGCGGGCTATGAAGCTGGTCACCGTGGCGGCGGCCAAAGCATGGATGAAGGCCATTTCCGGGGCGGCCAAACTGGTCATCGGACCGAAGACCGTGTCATCGTTGGTGGTGCTGCAGTTCCAGCGGCGATTCTTGAACTGAAACTGGCACTCCTGGATGGCCGCTCGAGCCCCACGACTTATGGCCGGCATAACGCTCGTGTGCTTCACACACTGCTTCTTCTGGCTCTCGCTCAACCCGTAGACGCTATAGCAATTGCTCGGATTAAGATCGATTCGCTCGGAGTACGCACTTACGGTCGGAGTTGGACTGGCCGCCCCGGCTCCTGCTCCTGCTCCGTGCTCCTCCATGTTCTTGATCAGAAAATCCCTTTCGTTGGCCACGCCCGCGGAGGTCATGACAACGTCGTGCTTAAAGTAATCGGTCGCGGAGGTGTTGTTCTCCATGGACACTTGGATGTAGTCGGGCATTATCTTCCTGCTGCTGCTCGGCGGCGAGCGTTCCACGCGGGATAGGAGCTCCCCGTCCGATGCCTCGGAATGTACTTTAAAGGAGTCGGGAATTTCGATGGAGACGGCAAAGCGTCTGGTGTTGTTGATCGTCTGGATGAAGGGCTCGAAGCGGGGCTGGATGTACTCCGACTGGCCGCGGAACCACTCGTCCCGCTCCCGCTGCCTCTGCTGCTCCTCCCGCCGCCGCTGGCGTATGCACTTTGGCGACTCCGGATTGCGCAGGCACGGCGGACGCTTGGTGGTCCGCGGCGGCGCAGGTGGTGCCCCCACCTTGGGCAGGTTTATCGTGGTGGTCGGAATGGGCTCTATCGAAGCTATGGATGGCACCACTTCGGGCTGGGTATCGTTGAGCAGGATCACCTGCGGCTCGGTGGCGCTCTTTTTGGTGTCCACCTGCTTGGGCGAGGATGCGGACTGATTGTTCCGCTTCTCCTCGTTCTGGTAGTAACCACCGAGGGGCTTCTGCTGGCTGGGCACCTTGGTGGTTGGCGGGGCAATGGGTGCCGAATACTGGAGTATGGGTCGCTGCGGACGTTTCGCATTCGTGGGCTGACTGCCCGCCGATGACTTGTCCTTGTCCTTCTGCAGACTGGGAAACTTGACGAACTTGGACTCGAAGTTCGAGTTCGTCTGCGTCATGTTGTGCAAGAAGAGTATGTGCTTCTTGAGATCGTCGATGTTGGAGGTGGGATCGCCCTCCAGTTGCGCCATCGCCGCCGATGGCACCCGCTGCATTTGCGGCAAAGCGGATGGGATCGGGGTCGTTGCGGTGGTGGTGGCCACCCAACGGGGATCTGGGGAGACATTCTTCAGTGCCATGGGCACTATAAACTTGCGATCTTCATCGGTGAGACTGGCTGGCAGGCCATTCTCGTCCGTATCCTCGTCGAGCAGTATGATCTGCTTCTGGTCCATTTCCTCCTGTATCGGGTGAATGGGACGAGAGGTAATGTTTGGTGGATCGAATACCAGTCTTTTGGTGAGATCGGCCTTAACAAACCCGGTCTCAGAGTCTCGCAGGTCGACGGGCTTTATGAACGTGCCCAGCTTGCGGAGGCCCTCTTGATGCATATACGCCTGCTCGTCCTTCGTTATGTTGAGCGGAATACTGGAGTTGGCCAGCTGCTCCTCCTGGCTGCCGAACTCAATGAACGGCGATTTGAGGCCGAGGCAGATCCATGTCGGCACGCCTTGCAGCCCAACTGTGGCCGCTGTGGCTGTGGCATAGGCCCTTGCTGCCAGCAGCGAAATACACATTGCACGCAAGAGGAGCCACCACAATACCAAGTGCTTATTTTTGGAGAAAATCATCATTTTGTTGTTGTTGTTGTTGTTTTTTGTGCTACTGTGGTTATTATTGTTGTTGTTACTATTGTTGCTGTTACTGTTGTTGTTGTTTTTGTTGTTGTTGCTATTGTTGTTGTGGTTGTGTTGTGATTTTCGGACAGCGGACTCGCGCTTCTCCTTTTCCCGTTATTTCGCTGCTGCTGATGGATTTGTATTGGGTGAAAAATTTTTGTTTCTCGATATCACAACAAAATCGATTCGATTTGCTTTTTTGTCCGCCACTTTCAGTTAGTTATAATTTCAAGTCCACGAATTTGAAACAGATTCGTTTGCCCCTGGTGGCCGCTGCTTATCATCCGTTTCCAGTTCATGTATACGCAGAGAATTTGTAAAATAATAAAGTGAGAACTGGATTTGTGCATAGTATGTATAGTATGTGTGTATGCATGTATACAATCAACCACAACCGCATCGAGGCACGAACGAACTCGCGACGACGCAATCCACCCTCCACGAAAAATTGTAAACAACTGAAACTGAAACTGAAGAACTCGTTCGGCATTTAAGTCTTTCGAGGCAGCCAGCCCAACACGGGCACAACGGGCAACAACGTTCGACACACGTTCAACTCGACACGGGGCAACAATACAAGCGCAGCGACAACGGAGTCCACAAATGTTGCCGTCTACGAGCAACCACCGAAACCACCACCACTTTTACGAATTTTCATCGTGACGAATGTTGGTGCAACATGTTGCGTGAAACTCCACTCCGAAAACGGTCACGCAAGTGCGATAGTCGATATCGTATCGATACTAGTATCGGAGTTTGGAATGCATTATTTTTGCATTACAGTCATTAATATCAATAAACCTTCCGCTAAGTCAAAATAATCCTTTGCTGTTCTCATGCCAAGTTTATTCTATTTTTCACCAACTTAAATATTACGGCATAAGCAACAATCGATAACGCATCGATACATAAAATGTTGCGTGGAGCTCCATTGTTACTCCACAATTTACATTCACATACAAAACTCCACATTACCTCATTAATAACACAAGAGAGAGAGGGAGAGAGAGGGACCCATTTATGGAGTAGTATATCAACATTCATGAACAAGTCAGCATTACCTTATGATAAGTCAAATAGATCGTTTTGTTTTTTATATATGTACTTATATTCACCTCTATAACAAAGTAACATAACACAGACATTTTATTTCATCAACTGTTAAACTGTTAAAAAAAACACGCTACAAAAACCTTATTAAATTTTATGCCAAAATGTTAAATTATCTTCTCCTTGTTTTTGTTTATTTACAAACGACTGTTTTTATTTAAAACAGATTCACTTCTTCAAGTTTTGGAATACGTATTGTCTCTTACAACTTAAACCGAAAAGAAATTTTTAAACGTCGCGAATATATTTTTCCGAATTTTTACAGAACTACTTCAAGGATTAATATAGTTTTATATACAATAAAAATCAAAAGTATTTACTTAATACAGCTCCTTAAAATTGATTAGATCACACAGCGATATAATTATGAAACCCATCCACATTATATAAAATAATAATAATAATAATAGTACCACCCATAAGTACATAAGAGCCAAATAAATACAGTATTAAAATCCAATTCATTTATTTGGCTATTTGGGCATTCACAGCCTGTTATTTACATAAAAAGAATTTTCGAAGACACTCTCTATTCGAAATACTGTTTACAGTTATTTACAGGGCTTTCTCTTGCGACTTACGGACTAGGTTGTAATAAATAAAATCACGGAATCCCGAAACGGGATCGAAACAAAAACGGAAACGCAACGCAAGGGAACGAATCCTAATGCTGCATCTTGTTGGCTCTGGCCACAGTGAGGGAGCTGCCGATGCGACGTCGATCGTAGAAGGGTTCGGGCTGCTCCAGAGCTCCAATGGCGGTCACCGCAGCGAAACTGGATCCCGCCGGCTCCTCGTAGAGTTCATGACCCACCTGGCCGAGGAAGTCGGTAATACTGCTGTCCACTTCCTGTTCGTAGCTCACACGCATCGGAGCCAACTGGTGGTGCAAACGGCCATTGTTCACCGCAGCGGTGAGGGACTCGCCACGAAGCAGGTACTTCAGGATCACCTGAAAGGAGCGATAATCACTTTATAAGAATTATCCCACTAATTGGGGCTACCGTGAAGCACTCACAGCTGCCACACTCGTTGTGATGCGAGTGCCACCTGCTGCTCCGACCAGCAGTCGCACGTTGCCGTCCTGGTCCACAATTATGGCCGGGCTCATCGAGGACATGGGTCGCTTGCCCGGATAAATGTAATTGGCCGGCGAGGCGGGCAACCCGAAGCCATTCACCACGCCCGGCGTGGAGAAGTCGTCCATCTCGTCGTTCAGGATGATCCCCGTCTGCGTTGAGGCCACCTTGGCGCCAAAACTAAGGGTGGAGGTAAAACAATTGAGTTACTACAACGTAAAGGTAATGGTTTTTCTACCTGAAAAATATTATCTCATAACCTACCAACGAACATTAGAACTTCATCACCAATTAATTGATATGTTTAGGAATCAAATATTGATAATAGTATCACAACTTCATAGTTACAAATCTTTTAAGAACACAACTCAATTTTTTCGATTTCGTTTAGATGTAATCCTAAGTGCAGATAATACAAAATTGATATCAATTAATTATTCAAAAAATATATCTTCAATATATGAATAACTTTATTGTAATATCCACTAAAAGGAAAACGTTTTAACAAAGATATATTAAAATATCAAAATTATGTGACTCGTAAATTTTTGAAACTTTTCATTTGTAAATGAAATAGGAGCATTATAGTTATGTATTTCATCTGGGAAACTCTAGAATGTTCTTCGTGATCTTTAAGATACTAACGAAAAGATTAAATGTAGCGAATAGTGTGATGAAAATAAGTTGCAAGTCAGAGCTCTGTAAAAATCTTGGGTTTTAACTGAATTAAAATTTAGAGTTGACAGATAAAGACTCATTCTCAAATGAACTACTAATTAATAATCATCGTTGTAAATTGTATAATAAATATGTAGGTAGAGTTATCTATGCAATAGTCATTAAAGAAAACTGTCCATGGGTTTTTAACGGAATAAAAATATACAATTTGCAGGTAAATCCTATTCTCAACTCAACCACTAATTACTAATAATCGTTATAAATTTAAAGATATTTATGTAGTTATCTGTTTACTAAGTCTTAAAAAAATCACGTATTCATGGGATTTTAACTGAATAAAAATGTACAATTTGCAGATAAAGATCCTTTCTCAACCTAACTAATAACCTTTATAAATTTAATAATATTTATATAGTCATCTAGTCACTAGTTGTTGAAAGATAAACTCAACTCTATGGGGTTTTAACTTAATAAAATTTGCAGATAAGAGCCCATTCCCAACTCAATTACTTGTTATTAATAATTGTTATAAATTTAATAATATTTATATAGGTCTGTACTCACTAGTTGTTGATGGTGCTGGTGATGGAGACGGCGTCGCCGTTGGTGGCCAGGACGTTCATGTGGGCGGTGCCGTGGTCCTCCTCCACGGTGAAATTGGCGCCGTAGTAGAGGTAATCCTGCGAGGTGCTGTCGTCGTGGATGAGCTGCCGGATGCTGTCGAGGAACTCCGGCTGGAGCATCTTCTCCAGCGTGGCATTGATGGCCTCACCGCTCACCGGATCCTCGTAGAGATCGCCCAGATGGGTTCGCTGCCCATAGGCGTGCTTGAAGGCCTCCACGGCGCGCTGCCAGTAGATCTGCTCGTTCTCCGTGTTCAGCTCGGCCATCAGGTTCAGGATGAAGGCCAAAACGGGCCCACTGCTGGGCATCGGTGTGGAGTACAGGGTGTAGCTGCCACTCACGTTGGCTGCCACATGGCCATCGCTGTCCCAGCGCACCTTGAAGTCCCGAAGATCCTGCTCCGTGATGATTCCACCCATTTTTTGGATATCCTCAACGAACTTGCGACCCGTCTCGCCGCCATCGTAGATCTCCTTGGCTCCATTCTCGGCGATCCTCTCCAGCGTGTCCGCCAGTGCCGGACGCTTCATGTAGTCGCCCTCGACGAAGGGCTCTTGGTTCTCGTTGAGGAACACCGAAGACAGTCCCGGATCCGCTCGGATGTTCTCCAACTTTTGTTGGATGGCCGAGGCCAAGTAGCGGGAGACAACGTGACCCTCGCGGGCCAATTTGATGGCCGGCTGGAAGAGTCGCTTCCATGGGAGGATTCCGTACTTCCGATGCATCTCCCAGTAGCCGAGAATCTCACCTGGCACCGCTCCCGCCGTCGCACCCGTGATCTCCGACTGGCCGATAAACATATCCTTGTGCGCCGCCGCCGGAGCGGATTCCCTGGCAATCAGAGTCTCCACTTTTCGGGTTCTCCTCGTGTAGATGGTGGCCACAAAGCCGCCTCCGATTCCCATGGAGTGCGGGAGCAGCAAGCCCTCGCAGAGGAGCGTTGCAATCGAGGCATCCACGGCGGAACCGCCATCGGTCAGGACATCTCCTCCCACCGCTGCACACCCAATGCCATTGGACACGACGGCGCCGCTGATGTAGCTCGAGTTCCGATTCCGGAGACCAAAGACCAGGCCCAAGGTCAGAGCCGTGACCATCAGGGCCGCCAGGAGCAGCCACAGAAAGAGCTTCTTGCCGCAGACCAGCCTGCAAGCAAAGACGGAGATTCCATCAGCAATCGATCATCATCCGCGATCCGAGATCGCCATCGGACCCTCGAGACTGAAGAGCTCGAGGACCTGGTTCTGAAGAGCTCGAGTGGAGCGGTGGCGGCGCTGCCGATTAGCTTTGATTTCGAGACGCCGCTATCGGAACGAAAGCGAACCGCCGAGTCATTGGGGTCCGCTCCGAAATAGGAAATACCCTGCTATATTTGTCAGTCTTATCGAGGAAAACATCTTCTTATTTACGGCTGATCAATGAACAATCAAAGCTAGTGCGCTGTCTTTAACTTTAAGTACGCCAACAAGGGTCCCTTGAAAAAGTTATCAAACTAAATAAAGATACAAGATCTTTAAGGATCCGAATTCAATTCGAGCCAAATCAACTTTTCCAATTATATTTTTATTATAATATAAACATTTTTGTGTGTAAATTCAATGATTTGTTTAGCTTACTAAAGCATAGTTAAAATATGATCTATAAACGTAACTTACTAACCCAATTTTGGTCCATTTTCATGAATGATTTGAGATGATTTGCAGAAAACCAAATCTCGTAAAACCATTATTGAGAACTGGAATCGTTGCGATTCGCAAGGTAAACAAAGGAGAGGGATTAGATTAAGGTGGAATTCTCCAGTGTGATAGCAAGGACTGTAATCTGCGGCCATTGAAGCCCAGTTAAATCAAATTAGCCAAATCATTGCGATCGATCTATCTGGAAACCAGGTGAATGGAAACCAATTGGCTGCAGTAGCTCCCCCACTTGAGGCACTATCTTTTACGTGTGAGTGATTGCCCTGCTGGGTGGAGTGTCCCATGACAAAGGGATTTCTGGGCGATGTCCCCCCAAGATGGCAGTGTCCATCGTACCGGATGAGTCCCGGGCATACCTTTCGTCCGCGGAGAGGGTGATCACGACTGGCTTATCTATATGGCAGTGCTATCCGATAAGAAGCAAGCACGCATGCCCATAAAAATGCCAAAACCAAGATCGTAAAACTCAAGCGCTATTAACAGGCAATTTTCTATAATTAACGTAGATTTCTCAGGGGGGAAAGTCGCGAGCACTTCGATTTAGTGCCTGGTCATGGGCAAAAAACGCCTCCTCCTCGCCGTACATTTCGATTTGATATGGGCCACAACGATACGATCGATTATCGCGAACCGTCTGCAGATTGTAATCCTCGAGGGGCACTTTCCAAAGAACAATTTCCGCCCAATCATCCCAGAAGCCGAACCGCCCCATCTGCATATTATAACGTTGGTATAGTGCGATAAGAGTGCGATTCATTCAGGTTCTTCGGATTCGGACTGCCCTTACGATACGCTAATGCCATATATGCTATATAGTTGCTTTATGGCTTTCGGTAGCATTTCTAATGCCTCCAATTGATTGTGTGCCGCCAAACGGGTGACTTAATTGCCAATGGGTCCTTCGATAAGCCAGGCGGTTCGGATTAAAGCCCCATTATCCAACCGTCTTTATCAAGGTGGATTTTCGGAATGTCAAAGTCGAGAAATTGTTAAGTTTTATGGAGATGGGTCTTTCAACCATAAAAAATAAAAAAATAATGAGTGTGGGGGCACTTGTGTATGAAGCGATCTTTAAACAACTGATAAAAAGTGATCAAATTGTTTACGGACCTCAAGTGGGAGCTGTTATATGGTTGAGTACTCGAGCGGGATCAAGATATAGAAAATAATGTATATGTTTTACACAACAGGATATTGATCATATCATGCCTAATTTCTGGTTAAGATAGTCTTTGATTTATTTAGGATGACACCTAGAGATTTTTATACAATCCAACAATTCAATAAACAATATTTTCTTTTCTAAGTTATTTTTAGAATAATATTGGATTTAATTATGTGCAAGGGAGAAACAGATTTGTATTTAATGCAATAAAGAAATATACTTGTATTCTTCTAATTAGTTTTTCCCAGTGAGCTATTGAAAAGAATCTCTCGGGATGCCAAGTGATAAGATACCCTGTGATCTTCGCTGGAGTACAGAATAAAAACATCTTTTAATTACAGAATCTATCGGTGTTTTGGATCTCTGGTACAGCCGGTGAAACACTTTCAATCAGAACAGAAACACACATTTCTATTTATCAGTTTCTCGGGCATATATGCCCCGTCATCCAAATCGAATCGTGTTTACCGCAAAAAGCAAAGATAAGTCTTGTGTGACGTTTTGTGGAAGGAACGAAAGTCATCCTTGGCCGATTGCCAGGTGTAACTAAAGTTGTACGATGGGGTTTTGTATTTTTATAGCGTCTAAAGTCGGTTTGCGTTATTCCCACCGATAATTACGCTGTGGTTTCCCTGGTTGGAATTATGCAAATTTATTGGCGGGTCGCGGGTAAAAGGCGAACAGAAAAAACCAGTTTCTATCGCGTTGGCTATTAGCGTCCAACGAAATTAACCAACCAGCAAATCATTCCCCTAATTGTCGCACTCAATGGCAATGCTCCGCCGAAGGGGGCCTCCTAAATTCCATTGGCAAGTGTTATCCCAATCTTATCGCGCCATATCCATAAAACCCGGAGCCTGTCAATGATCCGAGCTGAATGAATGCGCCTCAAGAATTCCCGTGTTTTCTTCGGCATTCATATATAGTATGTACCTAATTCCCCATTTTAGCAGGCCATATCTCAGCCAAGTACAATATCTTATAGGGCGTCGTAAAACGAGGGGCAATCAAGTGCTAAACCCGATAATTGCCGACTTTCGACAAGTTTGATAAACTGCGAGCCCAGTTGAATAATGGCATTGTGCAGAATTCTTAATAACAAATTCAAGCCCATGACGCATTTGGGATCCAAAGATTTTCGATACAGTGGCAGTCAACAAAATGGCATTTTGTTGTCCACACGACAAATACGATGTCTTATAGACCAATTAAGATCACTTGGCTGATAAACAATTTGCTGATATCGTACGAAGAAGCTATTAATTAGTGAACTAATAGTTTTTACATGCTTTGAGAAATGATCTTTTCTGTCACAATGTTGCCTTTTGGAAAATTACTGCCTTGCAAAAAATAAATTACAGAACAGATAGATAAAAAACTGATGCATTAACAATTATTTTTTTACGGCATATGTTTAAAGTGGCGAACTAATGTAATTTAGTAGGTTTTTGCAAAACTTAGTGTTTACACAAGTGGAACCTCTATAATTAATCGGTTTTGTGCCTATAGGCAAAAACGTGTAATATGTTTGAAATTTACTCACTGGGAAAGCAATAAAAAATGAGTAATTTGCAGGAACAAAAAACAGTAATATCTCTATTTAACTGACACTTGGGCTTGTGGCCACTGAGCCACTAGTTTTTTGACCCCGATTGTTTGCAAAAGGCCTGTTGGCTTAATGCTGAATAGTGTTTTCTTGCTTCACTTCATATTTGCACAAATGATACACGAAATGTCACACAATGCGATTTGTCTGATATTAATTGCAATGTCAGGGTCCAGCTAGCACATAATATAGATATTGAGCTGGCCAATTATTTTACTATATAGGTATTGAAAAGCTACAACGGAGAAGCCTATAATTATACTATTCTTATATAGTGATTAAAAGTAATTTAATTTGGTTTTTGAATGAATTAAAATTTAAGTAGTAAATTATTCAAAATATTCAAACATATTATTATTTAATTGTTGATAACATTTTTTTTTACAAGTTTCACTCTTAATAACTCGAGTTACGGAAGCCCAACTGTATATGCAAAATATCTCCCGTTACTTGTGACCATTCTTACCTCATTTTACGTGATTTGGGCAGCGAGTGGTATATTTACACCAAATTAATATTGGGGAGCGAAACCGGCAAAAGTTGCAAGCCTTGGCCACAAAACACAGAAACACAGAAAAACAAAGAGTCTCGAAAAAGCACGGAAAAAAATATGAACAACAGAGGAAAGAAGTGATCTGCGCTTTTGGGCGGCTATGCAATAATGTAATTCTCCGTTCTCCGTTCGGTTCCAGCAGCTCCCGCCTTGGAGCACAGTTACGATCGACTGATGGCTCCAATCCGCTCGAGCCGCACCACATCGACTCTCTTTCGATGCTAACTGTATTCCCTGCACACGACCCATCGAAAGAGCGAAAGAGATAGCGCCCGAGTGTTGTACCGGCGCAGAAAGAGCGGTACAGCGGGAGAGCGGGAGAGCAGGTGCGTCGGAGAGCGGGTGAGCTGGAGAGCAGGTGTGAGCGGTCGGCTTTGAGCTTGACCGCCAAAGCTCGGGCGGCAAGGTAAAGCAGGTGACGCAGTGGTCGTGCGTGCATTGCCATTGAGATGCTCCAATCGTATCGGGAGTTCGCAATAAATATATATATATCGATACCCAAATATCGCAGGGATTTTGAAGGCCATTTTCGAGAGCAAGTTTCTTGCAATTCAAAAAACGAAAAAATAAAATAAACTTAAATATAATATATCAATACAAAGCTTGCCAAGAATTCTTGAATTTTATTCTTGTATGTTTATATTAAGTCAGCTTAATAATAATTGATGTGTTCCTAAACCTTTCCGGATTTGGGGAAGAAAGTTATATAAAACTAACCGGGTTTTTTCTAGAGCTGTTATTTTACAATACAGTGCAATATTCAAAGGTTTCAACTGGAGTGTTTTTTTTTTTTGAGTTCCCTCTCCAGGACAAAATGAACTTTTTTGCTGTTTAAGTAAGCTATAAATAAACAAGCTGTTCCTAATTTTTACGTACTAAAACAACAAACTTAACATACTAAAATAGCTTTTTATTACATTGTCATTTAAGCTTGAAGACTTTCAATTTAGTTACATTTTTTTCGCAGAAAATTGATTGTGATTATTCAACGCCAGAGTAATTGGATCTTCCCAGAAAACATGTAGGTCTCCTTGTCATTGTTCTGTGTTCAGATATATGAGCTATAAAATATATACTTCATTTGAAAGTTTTCTGGATATTTTCCTGGTTATTGGAAGCAAGCGTTGGTTCTGTGTTCGGTGGCATCTGGCGGTGGTTTCAGGTGGGGATTAACGCCATCGCTCGTGAGTCGTCGACGACTGCATGACGGTCTTGTGGAGGAGCTGCTGCTGCATCAGCGAATGCTTCGCCATGCTGGCCAAATTGCCGTGATGTCGATGGGAGTGCTGCTGGGCCTTCTGGAAACTGGGCAGCGGCGCCTTCTTCTCATGGGCCAATTCCGTGAAGGCCAACTTGCGGCGCTGCTGCGGCGAAATCTTCTTGCAATGGCACAGCAGATGGATGTGGAGAGTGCGCTCCAGGTCGAACTTCCGGTCACAGAACTTGCACTGATTCGCGGCGGTCAAGGTGGTGCTGCTCTCCCGCTGCTGCCGTCCGCGGAAGCGGATCTTAAAGTCATCGCTGTGGGTGTGCCGATGGGCGCCCAACAGCGAGCGGATGTGGAACTTGGCACCGCAGACGCCGCACGAGTAGCTGGGCAGATGGTGATCATGGGCGTAGCTACTCAGCGGCTTCAGCTGCAGTCGTCCCATATCTCCATCCTGATCCTCCTCCTGCAGGTCAGCCGTCTTGTTCGTTCCGCTCGAGGTTCGATGGGCGGCCAGCAGAGCCGCCATTTCAGCTGCCTCGGCCACGTAATCCCGGGGAGTCAGTCCATTGCGGCGCGGAGATTCCAGGTACACTGTGGATAAATGTGTTAATAGTGCTGTTATAAAATAGTGTTACTAAGCATTCAGATTTTTGTGAAATTTAAAGCAAAAAGTCAAACTATTGTATCAACATTTTTTGAGCTTTACTTGTATTATTCTAAAGACTTAAAAATAAAAAGATATACATATTTCCAGGCTAGATATATATTTAACCAGATGTGGCTTATGCTAAAGTATTGCTATCATATAGGCAAATTACCAAATATTTTACATATATATAACTCTCAAGATAATATAGAAAACTTTAAGACCCAGTTAACAAAACTGTGCACCATATAAACTGATCGTTTTTGTGGTGTATAGTAAGCCTTAAAAATATGAGGTAGTACATAGTTACTCTGGCTATAATAATTCTTTAAATTATTCAGGAGAATAGCTTTCAACAATTTCCAACTAACGACACAATTTTTTTCTTGTAATCTCCGATATTATAAAGTATTTCAATAATTCAAGGCTGTATACCAAGTTTCGTGGCTCCAAAGTTAGTTACGGATAAGGACTCCTGAATCCTGGATTGTCCACTCACCGTTATAACCACCGCGATTTCGCTTCTCGTACTTTTCCGCCTTCTCCTGCAAAGATTCCTCTTCGTTGGTGGTCTCTTTGGATGGCACCTTCGCCGGGTGCTTCTTGCGTTGCTTGCGTCGATTGCCACCTCCATGTCCTCCTGTGCCGCCGTTTCCCGCCCCGCCCCCAGCCACCGGTCCGCCCTTTTTCAGCGGACGAGGGGGAACGGTAACGCGGTTCGATTCGGACAGGTAGATCAGCTTGCGCTCCACCGCCTTGCGGGCGTTCTCCACCTCCGCCTCCACGAAGTCATGCGGCTGCATCTTGGATCGCACCTGCGCGTGGCGCTTGCCACGCTTCGCCTTTGTGGCCTTTTGCGGCTTGTTCATCTCGCGTGTGTGTGTGTGTGCGTATTTTGTAGCTTCAACTCGTTGTCAATCTTTGTAAAACTAATTCGGAATCGGTGGGGCTCAATCCTCGAATGAAACTAGGCACATGGTGTGCTGGGAAATTGTAATGTATCCGAGAAATCGGTCATTTCGTTAATTATTAAATGGTCTGAATCCAGAAAAACGAAAATTATTTGCATGTATGATTTATCCCAATAAGTGTGAATTTTGTTGTTTAAATTATAAACATTATCATTTTTAAAATAGAACAATTTTCCGAACAATAAAAAATATTAATGACCAAAAGCAGACTACACTATTTTGTTTGTAAAAGCCAATGACATACCTATATACGCATTATACATTTTACATTAATAAATCTCATAGCAACAAATTTTTATCAAAGGTATGTATATTATAATTTCGCTCAACATGACCTTAAGAAAAGGGTTTTTATAGAAACGGATAAAGATTTAAAAAAAAAGTATAAATTTTAATTCGTAGTGACGGTTAAACTAAAAAAAAAAGTTACTAAAACCTTACCCAAGATTCCCTCCATGGTTCGCGTCCGCAGTTAGAGGTTTTCGTTTTCGTTTCGACGGTCACATTGAGCACCGCGTGCAGTGAATTTTTTGGCTCGCAGCACAGAAAAAAAGCAGCTGAAAGCTGGAAAAAAGCAGCAGAATACGCCGTGCCGAAATAATAGAAACGCGCGCTCGCCATACAGACGATTGTCAAACGTTTGCTGTTTTTCATTTTGGGGCCCCGAATCCGGAATATGAGTGATACGCGCGAGCAGATTCTGGAGCAAATCAAAGTGCAAGGCGATCTCGTCCGTCAATTGAAAGCAGCGAAGGAGTCGAAGGAGAAGGTCAGTTTTTGGTTCCACTTCCAGTTGTCCCTCCGCCTCACCCGCCCCCTTCCAGTATCCAACGCACCCCCTTTGTGTGTGTACAATGGAATAAATGCAATTGTTGCTGTAACTTTTGGCCCTGCTTTCGTCATCAAATCAAACCCCATTCCCATATTTCATCAGATTCAAAGAAAAAGAAAACAAACTTATGCTGCGCTGGCATTTGAATCTTTTTCGGCGTTTTCTTTTTCTTTTTTTGGTTTCGCAGTCTAATTAGATTGAATGCAACAAACAAAAGAGTAACAAAAAAGGAAAATTAAAAGAGCGCGCAGACTTTCACATTACATTTGCACAATCGTGCCACTCTGTTGTTATTGTTGTCTCGCTCTGCCCAGTGGCAAAATGCACAGCTTCATTTTGCGCTAGTCTGCAAGTATGTTCTGCCTAGTGTTGGCAACTATCGCTTTTAAAAAGTAGCCAAATCCGAAATTAGGTTCTGCAAATTTAATTAAACCATTGGAAAACCTCTTTTAACCGAATATCAAATTTCGATGTATCTAAAACCTGTTCCACCTCGATGAGTAAAATACAAAATCAAATTGAAATCCTTATGTTTTAAAGCCGAGGAAGAATAAAACCTTATCTTTCCTTCTTCGAAAAGAAGAATTGTCCCACAAAATAGCTAAATTGGCAACTCTGTGTGTGTGTTCTATGACCGAGTGACTGACTAAAAAGAGAGCAAAAGAGAGTGACTGGTCAAACAGGAGGCATGTACAAAAGGCACATGGTGGTTATTGCGATTATATCAAAAACCTGCTAGACCACAAACCGATCCGAGTTATAATGACTGCAACATGTGATTTAGGCTATAAGGAATTCGCAGCTGAATGGGTTGCCATCACTTGCCATTTTTAGGTTTGCAAAATTGTTGTTTCATATAACTTTTGTATAATTTTAACTGTTTTAAAATTTTTATTTTGCACGCAAAATAATTATTTGAAATCATTACAAATGTTGTATTTCGGAATGTCCAGTTACAAATGAAATTGTTAACAATACGCTTAATATTACTTACAAATTTAACAAAGTGTTTGTGGTTTAGAATGATATATTGATTGTGTTTAAATTTTTATTGGTATCAGCAATAAAATATGAAAATTTACGATCAATAATCGTTTAATGGCTTTTGCATACGGTGGTAACCCTCAAAGTTATGACTGTGTCAGTGATGATGGCTGCCAGGATCAGCTGGCTAACGGAAACCTAGCTGTGTGTGTCCTTGAACTTTTGAGCTTTCATTAAACCGCGTCACTTTCCTGTTTTTGCGTTTCAAGTGCCCAAAAAAAGTGTTATTCAAATCACAAAAACTTGTTTCCCAAACGAGAAACAAAAAAAATTCAGCGCTGACGGTCAATGGAACGCAATATTGTAATTTTATTTTTTGTTGCTTCAGCTGCACACACACATATACACCTCATTATTTCTCACCAACACAAAATAGTTATAAAATAAGCAAAAAAAAAAATTATTGTTGTTGTTGTTTAATTAGGTTTGAAAAGTTGCAAAAGAAAGTTGTTGCAAAAGAGAAAAATATAATTAAGAAAGCAAAAACAAAAACACATGTTGCGTTCAATTGGCCGCCAGTGGCGCTGTAGTGCTGCGTTTCAGTGTGCAACGTTCCAGACGGCGCCCTCTGGCGGCGGGCGCCTCAACTCGTCCGGCGTTCCAGCCCAACAACAGCAACAACAACAGCCACAAAAACAACAACAAGCACAAGAACAACAACAACAAGAACAACTGCATCAGGTTAGCAACTAAGCATGCAAATATCCATTGTCCTTTTGTAAAGTGTGTCCCAAATCCTCTATTGCAGATCGATGAGGAAGTCTCCCGCCTGCTGGCCCTCAAGGCCAAACTGGGCGGAGATGCCCCGCCCGCCAATCAAAAGTTCACGCTGAAAACGCCCAAGGGCACCAGGGACTATGGTCCCCAGCAGATGACCTTGCGCCAAGGTGTCCTGGACAAGATCGTTCAGGTGTTCAAGCGCCACGGCGGCGAGGCCATCGATACGCCCGTTTTCGAACTAAAGGTGAGTTTACTTGGGCTTATAAAATAGGTTGGAAGTCCAAACTATTAAAGTTAGGAAGGAAGGGTATCATCAGGAAGGGTATCATCCTATCCGTAGACCTATAAATGTTGTACCTTTACTCACATTCCCATTCATCCAAACAGGAAGTGCTCACTGGCAAGTACGGCGAGGACTCAAAGCTGATCTATGACCTTAAGGACCAGGGCGGTGAGATCCTCTCGATGCGTTACGACTTGACCGTACCGCTGGCCCGTTATCTGGCGATGAACAAGATCTCGAGCATCAAGCGCTACCACATCGCCAAGGTCTATCGACGCGACAATCCGGCGATGACGAAGGGTCGCTATCGCGAGTTCTACCAGTGCGACTTCGACATCGCCGGCACCTACGATCCCATGCTGGCGGATGCCGAGTGCGTCAAGATCGTGTCAGAGATCCTGGACACCCTGGACATTGGGGATTATGTGATAAAGCTCAATCACCGCCAACTGCTGGACGGCATGTTCCAGGCGTGTGGAGTGCCGGCGGACAGCTTCCGCACCATTTGCTCGGCGGTGGACAAGTTAGACAAGGTGGGTTTACCCATTCAATTTAACTTATAAACCTGTGATTGGAATGAACTTTCTCTTGTTTTCAGTCCCCCTGGGCGGATGTGCGCAAGGAGATGGTAGAGGAGAAGGGCCTGGACGAGGCGGCCGCGGATCGAATTGGGGAGTACGTGCGACTGAGTGGCGGTGCCGAGCTGGTGGAACAGCTGCTGGCCGACGAGAAGCTGAAGGCTGTGCCCAATGCGGTCAAGGGGCTCGAAGGCATGCAGCTGCTGCTCAAGTACTGCTCCATTTTCGGACTGGAGAAGCGCGTTAGCTTCGATTTGAGCTTGGCCCGTGGGCTGGACTACTACACCGGTGTGATCTACGAGGGTGTGCTCAAGGGAGAGTCCGCCTCCGTGGCCTCGCCGGCGAAGACATCACAGCAGAACGGAGAGCAGGCGAGCAATGAGCCGGCCACCGTGGGATCCGTTGCAGGAGGAGGTCGCTACGACAATCTCGTTGGCATGTTCGATCCGCGTGGCAAGGCTGTTCCCTGTGTGGGCGTCTCCATTGGCGTGGAGCGCATCTTCTCGGTTCTCGAGGCGCGGGCTGCATCCAGTGGTTTGAAGCTGCGCACCAGCGACGTGGAGGTTTACGTGGCCTCCGCCCACAAGGGATTGCACGAGCAGCGACTGAAGGTTTTGAATCTGCTGTGGGATGCGGGCGTTAAGGTAGGTCCACCTCGTTTATCAAGAAGGTAATGCTAATCTCTAGTTTGTTGCAGGCGGAGCACTCTTACAAGCTGAACCCGAAGCTGCTGGTGCAGCTGCAGCACTGCGAGGAGCACCAGATACCCCTGGTGGTGGTTCTGGGCGATGCGGAGCTGGCACAGGGATTGGTGAAGCTGCGCGAGGTGACCACGCGCCAGGAGGCCAACGTTAAGCTGGAGGATTTGGCCACCGAAATCCGGCGACGGCAGCAGGCCGCCTAGGCTGTTCAACTTATACATTATTTTTTTTTTGGCACTGATATTAGCAACAGATTACCGCTCCCGCTCCTAATTTATGAACCATCCAGCATCAAGCATATATTTTTTGTTTCCTATTTTGTACGTTTTGTATTTATGGTGTCCTGGCCGGAGGCGCCGTGTGCTACTATGCTTAGGACTACAGTGTAACCATAGGAATAAGTGCGGACAACTTATACCAAAATGAACGCTAAAAAGAAACAAATAAACGCTAAAGCGACTCGCATTTAAGCCGGAAGCTATTGTTTTTTTGGGAACTTCACTTGAATAAATGTGATTAGCTTGAAAGTATTGAATATAGTAGATTAGTTTAATGATTAACGGAAGAAGTGCCTGAACTTATGCTTTGGAAACGTAAATCAAACTTCAAGAGGCACTGATCAGGTGATACTTTTAGGCATTTCTATTATTATTAAAAATCAGTTAAATACTTATTTTAAATCAATTATCGTTACGTATTAACTAAGATATGTATTCCCAATAAACTATTTATAACTAAACCGTAGGAGACTATTGAAGATAAAAGAGTTTTCTGATTATTAAGATATTTTCAGCAATAACTTGCCCCCTTTAAACAATTGTATTCCTTATTACCTTATTGTTATTCCTTATTTTAAGATGTAAAATACACCTTCAAAACCTCTAATGCCCGACTATTCCCTTGCAGAACTTTGAGGCCGAGGAGGAGTGCCAGCCCAGCCAAGATCGGAGTCAGCATAGCAATCGGGAGCAGCGCCGAGGCAGCGGAGCCGTCTGAAGCGGTGGCCAGCATGCCGGAGACACTGCCAGCGACTGCGACGGTGACCGCGTCGAGCATCGACTGCACCGTGGCGGTGCTCAAGGTGCCCACGCCCACCCTCCAGCTGCCGGAGGTGTGCAATCTGCAGAGCCTGGGGCTCATCATGGAGCCCAACAACATAAACATCGAGCTGAATCCCGCCGCCCTTGCCACGTCCTCTGGTGAACCAGTGGCGGAATTCAAGGTGAGTAGGTGGAATCTATTCTTCGATTCGGTCAAGACAATGGAAAACCTATTTACTTTTAATTTCGTGTGTCACAAGGATTAAAATGGTCACTATAATGGGACAGATCTTCTGTTCCGCTGGGTTATCATGTAAGTGGGACGTGGTTCATTCGAATTCAGCGATCTCAGCGAGCTGATCAAGTGGGTCAAGGCCTCAGTGCAGATCCTGCCGTCAACGTGGGGTTTCCTCAACTGCTCCTCCTGCTGCTGAAGGAGTTCCGTTTCCATCTCCAGCTTGGAGCTTTCCGGCGGCAGTTCTACTTCCACTTCTTGCACACTCTCCTCGGAAATCCTTTGAGGGATAGAAACTAGTGACTCCGGAAGAGTAATTTCTTGCGGAGCAGGAAGAGCCACATGCTGCTGATTAACCGACGGCTTCTCCACTTTCACCAACCACTCGATGGCCAGAATAATGTGGTCCATCAGCAAGGCAAGGGACTCATCAATACTGGGTCCCAAGACCAAAGGAGCAAAGTTCTCTCGATCCAAGCAGGGACTATCGTCCGCTGGAGATTCGTTTTGACCGGTGGAGAAGAACATGGCGATGGGTGCCAGTAAGGAGCGCATAAAAACTTGAAATTTCTCCACTGGCCTGATCTGATCCCTTTCCATCTCCACCTGAACGGGATTCGAAGGCAACCTCCATTCTATTTCCTCGCACTCGCTTTCCGATTTCTCGCTCCAACCGTAGTAGAGCTTATAATCGATGACACCGCCAACCCGATCGTGCAGTTCCTCCAGCTCCTGGAGGTAATCCATTAGATTGTCTCGCTTTTCAGCGGGTTGCTCCACAGGTTCCTCCTTCTGACGTTTCACCTCCTGGTGTTCCCTTCTGCTTTCCTGCTCCTTGATCTTTCTTTTCTTCTCTTCAATCATCTCCTGAATGAACTGCTGTTGCTCCTGCAAACGTGCCACAAGAGTCTCCAGCTGCTGTTTGTATTCACAGCACATCATCGCCCTGGTTTCGCTTTCTGGCACATAAGTGTGCCTGGTCATGGATGTGCCATTCTCCTGGCTGGTGCTCGATATGGAAATGGGCTTGGGACTCATGTAGAGTATCCTAGCTTGACCTTTGCGCAGGCCGGAAGAAACGACCTTGTTCTGGAAGACCAACTTGGGATCGAAGGTGAAGTTCCAACCGCCTCTGGCGCGTTCTTCTCGTCTGGTTTTAGATGTCCTGGTGGACTCACTCTTCTCTGGATCCTTAAAGCTCCCTGGTTTACCATATTTCTTACAAGATGAGCTTCTGCCCATCACAATACTTTTAGGTGGTGGTTTTTCCATGGCTTTTTTAAAGCTTTTTGATGAGCTAGGCAAGTTTTGATCCTGATAAACCCGCCTTCGATCTTCCCTTTGCCAATATGTATCCCCATCGAATTCGTTTCGTATTCTTACAACGCAGCCATACGGTTTTCCTTCCTCTTTCAATAAATCATTCCGGTTCCTCTTCACCTTCCGGGGATCCAGTTTCTTCTGAGGATCCCAGGATCTGTACGAGAGGTACCGCCTTTCTGTTTGCATCGCTGCTAATTTTCCTAATTTGTACGTACTTCTGCTTGAGATTTAGATCGAGTTCTGCTTACGAAAAGTTTCTGACAGCCTTTCTAGACTTCTGTTACACTAAGAAACAATTTGTTATTGGTTAACAACAAACATTCCTATGAAATCTACAAAAAAGTGATTATTTACTGATAAAAAATATTCAGATGATGTGATATGTAGCAAAAGTAAGAATTGCTAAATTAGTTTTTAAAGGTTGACGAGGTAACATTATTTACGCAAAACTAATAACAACATTTAGTATACATTTCTACCATTTCAAAATCAAATTCAAATCAAAAGGGTCGTGTTCTTAGTTGTTATAATAAATTAAAGAAATTTTAAAAGCGAATAGAAAGTAAATGGATTTAATATAAAATCAACAGAATTTACTTACCACTTCTTTGCTAATCTTAATTTCTCCTTCCCCTTTTGATTAATCAAAAATCCCTGCTTTTACCGATCGAAAACCACCCATATTTTCCCACTGTGCACCGCTTTTGGCATCTCTTAATTTAATTATGCACAACAGAGAAATGTCAAGCGGTTCGCGGCTGCTCATCGCCTCGTTTTTACACTCGAACTGAGTCCTGATTGAGGCTGTCCCCGCATTTCTCGTGCTTCAGTGCGTTCAATTTGATGGCAAGGTGCCAGGGACGTGTGGTGGTTGCAAGGGGATGGAAGGGGGGCGGGGGGGATTCGGGGGGTGGATGGTGGCCGCTCCTCATTTAAATGACCCAACGCAACGGCGGACTGATTCTGACAGGCGCCGCCACAGAAATTTCTCTGCCGGCTAATACACTTTTAATATGAAATTTCATTTCGTTTCAACGATTGTCCAACAATTTGTTGTTGCCGTTGTGTCTCTGTCGCTGCTGCTGACATGTCACTGCGATGAATGCGAAGGTTGCCAGTGGTCGCACAGTGGGCCTAAACAGCTCAATACTTGCCCGGTGACCTTGGTTGGAAAGAAACTTGGAATGCCCTCTACTAATCGTTAAAAAATGTTTTACATCCGTTAAGCATTTCCATTTGAGAAATTATCTGTCAAGTTATTTTTAACGAAATTTACCGTCTCTTATATTTTATTGAAAATATAAAATATTGCCATTTTGAAGTTTATTCACTCACAGTTTATATTCACTTTGAAAACAATACTTAGAGGATTGGGAACACAAAGGCTTAAAGGCTTTAAGTTTATACATTACTCGATATTTAAATTTAGGTATCCCAAGATATCCAAAATACAAATTTATTTGACTTGAAATTAGGAAAAAGTATTAAGAACATGATTATCTTAAGAAGCGAATTTTTTAAGCTATCCAGAAAGTAAAAATGTTATGTAAATTGTATTGAAAATTCATAATATTTGGATTTGATTTAGAATCTAAGTTGTTAACATTGAGGAATTCCTGAAAACCCATTTAAAATTACAAATGAATTTTTTGTTTACAATGACAGAATTAATTATACAATCTGGGTTGATAAAATTTTATGCATTTCTGATGAAATCCAATTTTTAGTTGACTTCTTTGTATTTCACCGACTTAAAACCAAATCCTGCCCCACTGTTCGGGATGACTGGCCGTGTGATGGTGATGGTGGTGGGATTGCAGCGGATTGTGTTGGGCTAGGATGGCGAGGATTGCCCTTGGTTGGTAGTTGGTACTCGGTAGACAACATAGTGGGCCTGAACCCCGTGTGTGCAGTGATTTGGTCGAGCGGAGGTTGATGGGGGAAGAGGGTGCACTTCAGAGAGGGCGACTGATATCATTCAATGCTTCTAATTTACGGATTAATGAAGGCGCAACTTTACATATGGAAATGCTCGATCGTGGGAAGCGATTAGAGCGGTGCGGCGGTTTGCATTTGGATTGCATTCGGTTTTGGCTTTGGTTCGGTTCGGTTCGGTTGGGTTAGGTTTTTGTTTTGCTTTTGCTTTTGGCTTTGTTTGGTGGTGCGAAGAGAGGTCCCTTTTTAAAATCGCCCCTCGCCAGTGGCATTGATGGATTGCCCCATAAATTTGTGATTTGCTAAGCTCGACTGCCATTTTCCAGTCCAGCCGATCACAAAGTTAATTTGTATGAATATTTATGGGAGGTGGAGGTGGTTTCTATTCCCAATGTGTGTGGAAAAGTCAGAGTGCATATGTACCTCCCTCGGTCAGTCTGAGGTCAAATAATCAGGGGAAATGGTCTATAAATTCGGCTTAGATCCAATTTGAGGATTTTATCTCCAGCACTTGGAAATCCTTTGGGATTTCCCCTTTCCAAACTTTCTTATAGATGAAATCAATCTGCCAAAGTAAGCTTCAATTTTCCAGTTCACAGTTCGGCGCCTTGGCAAAAAACTAACGAATACTATATAGTGGGGTATATAGTACCACTCTATAAGAACTAGAAACATTTGTATGTTAAGTCAACTTAATGGAACCTTTTTAATATCTACTTATATGTTTTCTGTTTCTTAACGATTTGAAGACTTGATTGTGGCATGTGTTGTGATTAAAGGCTTTGCTTAAATAGTAAATACTTTTAGAGATATTGACTCTTCAGGGTGCCATTGCCATATATCCTCTTGCACTCCCAAAATATCCTGCATGCAGGGTTTGCCAGCGAGCAAACACTAATAATATTAATAACGATTATCGCCCGATGGAAATGAATCTGGCTCAGAATCGGATTCAAAGCCATAAATACACGATGCTCACCTCGTTCGTCCGTCCGTCCATCCATCCATCGATTGTATCTCTGCTCCGGAGTGATCCGATTCCAGCCGGGGAGAAAAGATCCGGGGGGCAGAGCGCCACGCGACGGCAGTTGCTTATCGCGGGTGACCAGAGAATCGCCACGTGCGATTTCATTGCCAATTCCATTCATAGTTCGACCAGCTCATGTGTGCCACTGAATGGGTGATGGCTACCCCCGCGGGCACACAGCTAGAACTCCGAGAAAAAAGGGAAATTAACCCACATTCGGAAGTTCATAGGCAACATTTATTGGGGTTTTTATTGGGTTTTAATAAAAACTTCACATATCCAATATAAATTAAACTTTTTAATTAAAAATTAAAATTAATAAAGTATTTCGATTCATAACTTAAAATTCCTTTGCTCAAATGATATAGAAGGAATTAATTCTAGGGTTAATAATCTGTCCAAGGAATTGTTTATAGATGTTGACAAATATTACATTTTGTTTCCTTTTTTATTTTCTTAATTCTTTTTAAAGATGTGCCTAACAATTCTTGTTTTTTATTTAAAGTACATATAATAATAATAACAATTTTTTTTTAATATAATTTATTATTATTATTTTCTTTATTTATTATTTACCTATTTATTTATTTCTTTTTTATGTGTTTACAGGAAGCCTCCCATGCAATTAGAGGACATTTTCGCACTACCCCTATCCTAATAGAACTGGTAGCTACTTTTCTGCCCTCGACTGTGTGGCAACCGGTAGCTACTTGTGGGCTGAAGCGGCAGGGGATTGGAACCGTCAGTTGAAAACCGGGAACAAAGACGGCGAGCGGGACCAGCAAATTTGCGTGCAATCGTTTGGCCTGCGTTTTTAATGACTTTTTCGACTCAGCTCGGGTTTTCCCCGCTGTCCCCCGATCTCCCCTTGCCCTTTGGCAAAGGCAATGCATTTAATTCGATTATGAGACGCGGAGTTCCTTGGCATAATATATATATATATATATATATATATATATTTGGTGGTGGCTTTCGGGAAAAAGTAATTGAAACTCCGAATGGCTGGCGGGTTGGCTGGCTGACTGGCTGGCTGGCTGACTGGTTGGATCGCTGAACGGATGGCTGTAAGTGGAACGCAGACGCCCCTGCCGCCCATCTTCACGTGCGACGGAGTACAACTAATGTGGGTGTTAACGGTGTGTTAAGTGATTTCGCCATTTGTTGTAGGATCGAACCGAGCACAATCCCAATCCCAATCCCAATTCCAGTTCCTCGACTTCGATGGCGACGACACCCGATAAGTATCGCGTTCTTTGGCCACTTGGCACACGCGTTTCGCACATATTTCAAGCGCTTTTCAGCTTTTCAGAGTGAAAAGCCATTCGCACTCGCTGCGGGTTGAACTTTTCATTTCCGCTTTAAAATGGATGAGAAGGCAATTGCACAAATGTATCGACTTACAATGCACGCCGCCTTTATTGCCTGTACTGTATTAGATGGAGGGGATTGGAACATACTTAAAAACATAATTTCCTCTTTAACCCCGGAAGTTTCTCAAGTTCCAGAAGGTATCTCTTTGAAGAATACTCGGATACTGGGTATGGGAAAGGAAAATAGCATTTTCTATAGTTAAATAAATTAAATTATTGTGCAATCCAAGCGCATGTTATTTTATTACATTTTGTCAAAGATTAAATTATGAAATTGACTTGTTAATAGATGTTTTTTAGGAAGAAAAGTATGTTATGAAGTGCGATTAGTTGCTAAGCTTTGGTATAACTCATAACTCTTAATAAATGTATACTCGAAAGCCAATTTAATGTGGTTATTAATATGGATTTCGTAGCCATCTTGGCAAAGAGTCCCCGCTCTGGTGTCCCGCAACTCGTTAATGGGTTAATCTAAAGGTGCAATTTATCTCTGCTCGACCGACCAAGTGTCGTCCCTTGTCGCCACCACCCCATAATTCGTGTGGACCCCGGGCTAATGAAAACTAAAAACTTCAATTACCAAAACAGCCAAATAATGCGTTTTTAAACCCAAAAATGTACGAGCTAAGAGCAGCGGCCAAGAAATTGTGATAGATGAGGGTTTGGCAATGTTTTTTTACGGGCCACTTGTTTGTGACCCTGCTCTCCTGCTTTCTAAACAACGAGTGACCAGAAAGGCGCAACACAGCAACCAAAAGAAAATGGCAATAAATCAGGGTAAATAACACACAACTACCAAGAGTTTTCCGGGGGGCTGGCCGCGTGAAAGGGTATCTCGCCCCGAAATTTCCCAATGGGGTGATTATTTAAAATTGTGCAACGCATAAATAGAAGTCAAAGTTGGCAAAAGAGGCAGCAGATGTGGGACCTGGTTCCCCATATTTGTTGTTTGTCCGCTTGTAATTGTGTTTTTGGCTTATTGCCTTTGCCCGGAATTTGTAAAATAGGAAAAACCCAGCGAAAGGCAATCGATATATCTCCTCAATCTTGTAAAGATCCATGGAGCAATCTATTCGAATATTTATTTGATTGCAATACAACATGTTATTGAAAGAATAGTGGTGTTCTTCATGCTTTCTTTTTTAAACATCACTCTCTTGTTTATTATTTTATTCGCATCACAAAAAAAGGTTATATAATAAACAGTGGTGTTTTTTAAAAACAAGAAAGTTGTTGGTATTTGTAACAAATTCCAAAGTCGTTTCCATATCCATGTTTAATAAAGATGTTAAAAGAATTGGTTTTATTCATAATGGTAATAGAAATTCAAGTTTTAGAGTGATTCGACCAGACTTATTGGAAGGTTGGTTTTAGTTAAATTTCGAAGAAAACCTGCTTTTAGTGATATACATAGATCTATGTCCCAGTTCCAGCTGGTGGGTCTGGTAAACTTAGGCCCACTTGCTCCTTGGGCACTGCGTTCATTGGAACTTTTTCTTGGTCTTCCTCGGAACTTATAGTCAAATTCTGAGATGCCCTTAACACTAGTGTGACACCTTCGTCATCTGCCTCTCGGTTCTCCCCAGATTCAACTGGTAAACTATAAATGAAACCGCGGCTTCTCAGCTGCCCTATACTAGAAGCTTCTTCATTTTCAGGTCGGTCATCGTCTTCAGTTGCACTTGCAGTCGGATGCTCCTCAAAGTCCTGGCCGTAAAGGATTCGGCGCTCTTCCTCCAATTCAGCTGCTATAACCCTACAAATCTCAGTTATGTAGGAATCCATTTCCACGAGATTGCTGTCTAGTTGTTCGAGCTGGAAAAACAGTTCTCCATTATTTGGTTTCTTTTTTCCGAGCGCTCTGCTATTTCCTTGCAAGCCTTTTTAATGAAAGATTAATTGTCAATCACCTTGGTCTGCAAGTCCTAGAAGTTTCTATCCCAATATTGGTTCAAAGTTTTTTTTATTTTTTGGCAAAAAGAAAGTCACTTTCGAAAAGGGAAAATTAAAAGGAGAGAAAGGGGCAGGGTTGTATTTTAATGCACCTGTGCTTTTGTTATCGAAAGGCAGTATTGATGCATTGAGTTCAGTTCGATTAAAAATTAAAGGAAACTAAACTTGGATACATGAATTTTCTCAAAGTTGCATCATTTACATTAATAGTCAAGAATACACAAAAAAATTGGTATTAATTATTTTTCTATTTCATTTTTCTATTCTTATTACATATTCTTATCTTATTAACACATATTTTACCTGTCGAGATAGATCGATTTTGTAACGGTTTATCCTCTGCATTAATAATTGGTTTTACTTTCTGCAATTTAATGTTTTAAAAACGGCTGAAGGACAGCCTTGGCATCGATTTTAAAACTATATCTCTTAGGAGTTCCTCAAAATATGTGTTGTTTTTAAAATAATAAAAATAAAACCTTTGACAGTGTAGAAAACAACAAAACCCGGAAAGCTATTTAAAATCAGTTTATTGGCTCCTTTTTATTAAGGTTTTGAAAAAGTTGTTGTTTTTGTTTGCCGTATTTGTATTGAAATATTCTGAACAAGATTGTGCATCAATGAAAATGTTGTTGATGTCTTAATGTGTTCTGAATAAGGTGTTTAAAATAATTATTAATAAGCATTTTCATCTTTAATTATTTAAATCGATGCGAAATCCGATGATAGGTCACTGACCTGTAAAAATAGTTGGGCACACTAACATAGATCAATATATCCTAGGTTCGAAACCAAATGAGAGAGGGGTAAAAGAGAAGATCAGCTGTTTGGTTATCGATAGGCCGAGAAAAAAGTAAAGCTTAAAATTAAAATGTCGCAAGTTAAGGAAAATCAATTGGTTTCCCCTTTGAAAAAAGCGGGAAAAGGAGCAGGATCTCCCGAGGAAGAAGCCTCATCAATGGCCGTCTCCACGGATGCCAGCGAAACGGAGCGCCTGGTGAAACTGGTCATGGACATGGGTTATCCGGAGGGCGAAGTTCGCCTATCGCTCGCCCAAAGCAACAACAACGTACAGCGAGCGGTGCAGATTTTGGTTGAAGGGACGGCGGGGGATAACGGGGCTAGCGAGTCCCGAAAACGACGACGTACTCGCCAGCTAGTGAAGCAGTTGCGCAGTTCCCTCCTCGGAAATCCTGTTTCCACGGACGACGCCATCGTCCAAATGATGCAAAATCCAAGGAGTGCCGGTGCACTTACGAATTTGGTCAATGGCAGCGGCGCTGAGTTCATGCAACTTTTGCTTGCTGATGAGGAGGAAGAGGAGCAGGAGGACCTGCTGGACGATGAGGATCAGGAGCAGCTAGAAACCAGCCAGGAGCAGACGTCCTCATTCGCCGAAAGCTCGCCAAGCAACTAAGGGAATCACAGATATTAATACCAAGGTATTCCCTTCATTCAATGAAATCCTAAGTAGATTACGTTATGCCTAAAAGAATTTCAACTGATTAGGTTCCTAAAAGACGTATTTAAAACATATTACCATAAGACTTAAGGGTTCAGATTGTTAAGATAAAAGTCGAATGTTTCAAGTCAGATATATATGAACATATTTTAAAATTGATTAATCTCTTTTGTAACCTCTTAAATCGGAAATGTTTGCTTTAATCATTAGTTAATTTGGACTCTCTTTGTTTCCATGTTTACAATCTTTGCAAAATCACACTGTTTAAGATCTAAGGAATAATTTCATTATTGAAGATTATACATATTTAATTTTTTGTTTCCTACCATGTACATATTTCAAATCTTTAAATTGAAGTTATATTACAACTTTTGCGTTTTAAATTCGAAGTTTACCTTTAAGTACCTTAAGTTGTTGAGATATAAAAACTTGAATAAATGAAATATGAAGTTAACTTATTTGAACCCTTAATTCCACCTTTAAAAATTGAGAAACTTATGAGCCAATTCAGCTTATCAGTTTTAATATAAGGATTAATAACAAGTACCCTAAAAATGCTCCACATGCACTTACAACGTTTAAAAAAATTTGTGTGAAATCATTTAAAAGAACCCTTACTTGTGCTGATTCAAATTTTTGTGCCACTATAATGTTCTCTAAGAAGAGTTTGTATATAAACTCCTCGAGAATGATATTACCTGATGTGCTGGTTTGGGAAATGTATTTATTTACCCTGCAGTCATCAGGAGACATTAAATGCATTAGGGTTACGCCATCCCCCAACCCGATTGTTGTTGTATTTGTTGTTGTTTCGGCGGATGTGACTCCGGTCAAGGAGCGGAAGGAGCCGGAACAGTAACAACAACAGCAATAGCAGTAGCAACCCTGTGGCAGTAGCAGTGCACAGCTTGTCAACCCTTTTCGGGCCGATGATTAATGATCGCTCTTTTTATTTTTCGTACTTCACAGTGTTTTGTACTGATTTCAATTTACCGCTTTCGCTGAAAGTTCCTTGGAGTAATGTGGGCTATATAGTGCATCCCCTAGGTTTTATTTTTTTCTTTTTGGTTGTTGCTTGTGGCGGCCGGGGGTTGGGGAATTTCGCAGTTGGAAAATTCTAATTAATTTTGACTTGCAACCGTTGACACTGTCAACCGCAGCCACGTAACCCACCCAGTAGCGTTTATCGCGTTTGATCGGCGTTGCGGCACACCGCAAAACTGCTTAGAAGGCGGCAACCCCTGGACGTCCGACGTCGGATTCTCGGTACTTGGTACTCAGTATTCAGCGTTCAGTGTTCACTACTCAGTACTCGGTACTTGGTACTCGGAAATCGAGGCGTAGGCGGCGCCGTCTCATTTATCACGGCCACGGCAACTGTCGCCGCTTTTTGGTCTGCTGGGGGTTAAGATTGCGCGGGTTAAGTCAGATTGCAGATTGCACGGCGAAAAAAAGGAATTCGAGTTAAAAATCTGTATGCTGTGGGTATTTGATATTTTATTATATGATAAAGCCTAAACATCATTACCAGATAATAGTTTAAATAATGGATAGTGAGAAACAGTAATTGCTTAATTAATTGTTAAAAACAAGTAGAAATGATATGCGCACTGATAAAAGGAGTATAAAGAAAGCCCAGATAATCGTATTATGATTAAAGATTCGATAAGTTAGAGTTAAATATGGGCTGTCTTAATATTTGCTTTATTGAGTATCTAAAGAATTTTACCTTTGTTTTTAATAATTATCCTGCCACGAATTAACCTTAAAATTAGCTAGTTAAAAATGTATTTCACAAAACCACCCATTAAAATCGTTTTGGTTCAATGTATCTCAGATTCTGAGAACCACATATTTCTACTTTGCACCTTTGATAGCGAAACCCCCATAGGGGACATTGTATTTCAAAACCCTATTTCAACACGTTCGATAACACCCGATTTGATCGGGTTTTTTTTTTTTTGTTTTGTTCAGTTCCCGTGCGATTCATATTTGGTTCGGGTTCGCTGGACTTTAAAATGCAATTGTCACGGGCCGTAAATTAGATGTGGAGAAATCCGTAATTCGATACTGCGATGACGTCGCTGACAATGGCATGCAATCAGCCCTGTACGTCTGCCCATTACCTTTACCGTTATACCAGCTACCGCCGCTTGTTAGCCTCGTTGGCATATTTGTGGGAGGGCGGAGAGGTTACCGAAAAGGGGCGGGGCCTTTATCAATATGTTGACAACAAGCCGGCAATAATAATTGCAATAACAATTTGCAGCGAACCAAAGAAGCGTGCGAAATATGTTAAAAAGGGAGATGGAGATGGGGATGGGGAAAAGGGTTACGATCCAGTAATTGCCCATGTAAAAGAAGCGAAAGAACTGGAAGCCAAGACCTTGTTATTTATTGATGTTGCTTCGATCATTTCAAAATGGGTTGTTAAAGCAATTTCACATGCAAATGAGGGCCACGATGATGGGCCGACCTCTTCTGCGATGACAAACGAGCAAGCCTGGGAAATCCTAATCCTTGGCCAGGAAATCGATGACCGCACGCGGAAGTCCGAGAGTCCTGCCACAGGATATGTGTACGTACGAATATGAATGCAAATCGAACCGCAGCTCGGATTCAAGTGGGGAATTCAGAGAGTTTAAGGGGTGGTGGGGAGAAACCCAAGCGTTGTGCTCACTTTTTATTTGCCCAAGCGCTTAATTGTGTAAAAAAGGACCGATGATAGTCCTGCAGCAGCAGGATTCACAACCAGAAGGAGCAGCTGCCGAGGGCTGCCAATTAATAGATGGAAATGGATTTGCGTAAGAAATATGCGTTCCCATTTCCACTCCACTCCCCGCTTTCCGCTTACCGATTCCCATTTCCATAGGCCAACAATGGAGAGCGAGCGAACCAGAGACAATTAGGCAATTATTTGCGCAAAGGATCAAAACCAAAACAAAAAGCCCTGCCACCCATTCACCACCCATTCAGTACCCATCCACCCCCTGACCCTCGACTCCCCTCCGCATCCTCATCCTCATCCACTTCCTCATCCTCTCACTCTTCCTCTGGTGGGAAATCGCTCAATGTGTCCATGGGTTCGGGCATTCCTCTTTCCGTGTGTTCCAAATTCCGAGGCCAAGGAAGATGAGCAGTGCCAATTGGCGAACCAACTGGTTGCTGATCACTTGGCGTTTTTGAGGTGAAATCCGGCTATTTTCTAGATATTTACGCGGTATTATAATATATTATATAATATATTTTTTATACCATATGTCAAACTATTTTATATGTCAACCTGAAATACGATGTGGTATACATACATTTATAAGGTTGAATTAGTGTTATTTGTACAACTCTTTTTCTAAAATTTGGAATTAAGTAACAATCTAAAATCACTTATTTTAACCTTAGGTACTATTTATATCATTCGATAAAAAATATTCTTATTTTCTAGGCAGTCATTTTTTTATGTTCAAAGTTAAAGCCTAATATCTGTTCATTAAAAATGTTGTACAGAATCTTTGGCTATTCTCACGTTCAGGTTTTTACAAAAGTGCACTGAAATTTATTTTATTAACATCGTTTTGTCAACGAACGTGTTGTTTTCAAAGTACCCGTTTTTCTTATAGCTCTCTGCTGGAAATAAAGTCGCCTATTAGCCATTTAAAGCCGGTTTTGGCCACTTTTGGCTATTGGCTGGCGGACATCACTGACGGGAGCGAAGCTTAGGTGAAATTTTTGGGGTGGGGCTGAAGTTGGGTTTCGTTTGGAGTTTGCTGGGGCCCGTTGCTTTTAATTGAACATGAGCAATTAGCGTGCAATTTGTTTTGCTCGCGAATGTGAACCAACGGTAAATGGGGGCAGCTGCTCTCTGCCCCTGAACTTCCACCGCGCTCCCCCCCTTCCCCCCTTTCCCCTCATGTGTGCCACGTGCTTTTTTTTTGTGTGTGTGTGTCTCTTGCCAAGAAACGCACTTGAGCAGAATTAATTTTAAATGCGGCTCTGCACGCGGCTAAGTGATTATGTCCTAAGCAGAAAAAGAGAGAAGCCATTTCAGTTAGAAGCTGCCCATTCAACCACCACCCACACGCCACCCACCACCCACTCGCTGCCTTTTAACCCCGCCCGTTCGCCCCTCGCTGTTCAGTCACCACTCAGATGCTCGCATGTTTAATTATAATTAAAAAGCACAGCATCTCCAGCATCCCACACCGATGGCACATCCTTCAGGCTAACCTGATCCATAAACATTAAAATGGTTAATTGAGTGCTTAGTGCGTCCTTACCGCCCGCCACCCACCACCCTCCGCCTCCCACTCGGAGTGCAGCATAATATTAATTATTTTAATTGAAATGTTCATTATTTTACATCTAATTTGGCGCTAGGTGCGTGTGCCACTCCCCCATTTCAATTCATCAGCGGCACCGCCCACCCCCACTGGTCATTCCCACATGCTGGAAGGCCATGCACAGTGGGACCCCGCAAAGTGGGCGCAAAAAAATCTTAAGAAATGTATCGTAGATTAATCTTGAGTCTAGTTTTAGTAGACAATACAATGTTTTTTAAAGAATTATTAAAGATGAGTTCAAAAACGAAAATAATAACATTTCCGTTTCTGTTCCCATCTGTTTTAGAAAAATTATTCAAAATCTTTTAAGAAATCTTTTCATAAAAAAATGGATCTTTAAAACCTAGCAGACTTCAGAAAAAATATTGAAAATTGAAGATCTTTGAGGGAGATGTTTGCTTTTAACTTTGTACAAGTGAAATAATGCCTTTTACAAATAAGAAATTTGCAAAATGTCTTTATTCAGACCTTAAGATCTTGAGATCTCTTTCTCAACCGGAAACCATTTAATTTTTTATGAAATCTCTTGGCTCTTTTGTTTCCCCCGATTTGTCCCACTGTGGCTGCCTGTGCGATATTTAATTCTTTTTATTTTCGGCCTGTTTTTTTGGGGTTGTTGCAGCAGTTTGGCGCGGGGTTTATT